TTATCATCTGTACACATATGGCATCAAGTTAACTTAAGATTTTACTCACATTTTTAGAAACTTCTAGCTCATCACATTGCATGCATCCTGGGCCTATTGACCTCATACTTCTCCAGTAAGAGTCTGATCTGGTCCCTAAAGCAAAGTACTACCAAGTACTTACCAACTTAACTAATTCAACAACAAAAAAACCTTTTAGTCACTTATTTTGCAGTCTTAAATCGCCTGTATCACCAGTGTGAAACAGCCAGAGAGAAGAGAGCGGTCACAGTTTGTTAAATGGCACATTCCTCCAGATTTGTATGTAAATGTGTTTTTGAGACTCAAAAGAGCAGGACAAAGGAGCTGCTCGGCATCATGGGAAATATGAGGCAGCAGTTTGGGCCTGACCTGGATAAACCTGAAGACGTTTTCTGGCTGTGTAGAAAGATTGTATTATTGTTTCTATATATAAAAGACATGTTTGCAGTTGTTCCGTCCTCTCTTCTCCTCCCTGAACTTCTGTATTATCAACAAGGGGAAGGGATTCAAGTCTGACAAATGTCTATTTTGCATGATGTGGGACTGTAAGAACTTCATTGCAACTAATCAAATATTGAAATAAACCTGAAATAGAAGCACACATAGACATGGGCCCTTTAATTGCAGTTTCAGTTCTTACAGAGTTTGTTACAGAGTTTTTCCAGTTGGCACAGAGTTATTCTCGGTCAGAGCTTTTTCAAGATATGCATTTTAAAGACAATCTTACGTCACACATACGTTGCATCGAAAGATATAATTATAAGTCATGGCAACCGGTTCAAAGCAGAAGTCGGCACACCGGAATTAGATGTTATGTCTGCGTTTGTCCACTGGGTGAAGGTTTTTTGTTCTGTATTGTTCATAGTTTTTCTAATCAAACAACCCAATGTGTATCAAGTCATCTCTCTGAAAATATCCAGGGGAATCACTTTGTTTTGGTCAAATGTCAAGTTGTACATTTCAGCCCTAGTTAAAAAAAGCATGTTATTTATTTATTTATTCAGACGGCGATAGAACAGATAAAGTAAAGGCAACTTAATAAATGTATTGATGTAAGTTTATGTATGTAAGCTTTAAACATGGACGATAATGTGGAGTACGTTCCAAAATGTTGGCTTATACTTTAAAATTGAGCAGATAGAAGATTAGAATTACATGGTAGAATTCACTCTTAGAATACAGAATACAGTTTTGTGGACATCTCTGTAATCACTGGGACTCACGTTACTTTAAGAACTGCCCATCAGGAGAAACTGTCACATCAAAGGTCCCGCAGGCTCCGCTCAGACCACACATGAAGATAGCTGATTATCCCCCCTCAGAGGAAGGCTCAATGCTGCAGAACCGTCAGCCTATCACAGACTCAAAGAAGGAAACAACTCAAGTTTCACACAAAAGATAACAAATACTGAATAAAATACTTTAATAACCTAAAAATATTACAATGAATACGCCAGTTAAAAATGATAGGTTTTGAATTGTGATTTGAGAATGTATTTTTGGAATACTTGTATGAACATTTTAAGTTGCATTATTCTACCTGCTGCTGTAAGTATGGATTTGTATTGCAATCAATTGTGTTGTGTTTGTTTTGTGTTATGCACCTCTCGAAAAGGAGATGTTACATCTCAAGGGGATTTCCCTAAATCACATAAAATCAAAATCAAATGTCCAACTGTCGCAGGTGAATCGGTAGAATGTTCTAGAGTTTGGGAGCAGAGTTTCTGAATGCTCTGCCCCCCACTAAGTTGTGTAGCTATTTTCTAATGACAGCTATATCGCAACACCAATACTTCCGCTGTTTGTTTTCTTTTATAATTAATTATTGTAATTATGTGTGCTAATGTATTATTTTACCTGTATACTTTGAATGCTTCCTTGTTTGTTTTGCAAAGCTGTATACACATTGTGCTATACAAGTAACCTTGCCTTCCATAGAGTTGGCCAGTCCTAAAAGGATGACATAATCAACTTTGAGAATGTGTTTTAAATCCGTGGGACATTGGAGCAGGGTGAGGGAGCAGCAGCTGCACACTTGTGTTTGTATTTTCTCATTTCTTTTATGCTTTATGTGGGAAACTCTGCTCTCATCAATCATCTTCAGCTGGACTCTGGTCCATCCCCAGACCAGGACGAGACCAGGACTAGACCCAGGTCAGGACCCGGACCCCAGGGCTTTGTGTCCAGCTGCGCGTCTGGTCTGAGGCGGACAATAGCCTGTCCTCTGCAGCACACAGCATTATTCCGGTTTATTTATATGCACCAGTCCTCAGAGCTCTGCATTGCAGCACTTCAAACTGATTTAAAATAACACAAATTAAAAGTTCAGGGTTAACCAGATGTTTGTGTTTTATAGAAATATAATGAAAACATTAAGTATGAAGTAAAACCATGAGGACAATTTTAATCAATGCCAACAGCATTGCAAAGAGTGCAATGCTGCATATAGCACTTTTTTGGACACTCAAAGACGCTGCACATGTCATTATTCTTTCACAGCTGCCCTGGGGCACACTGACAGAAGCGAGGCAACCAGCATGTGCCATCGGCCCCTCCGACCACCACCAACCATTCACACACACACCAGACTCATTCTAGGCAATGGGGGTAAAGTGTCTTGCCTAAGGACACAACGGCAGTTTGGCACAGCTGAGAGAGTTAAGTGTCTTGCCAAGGACACAATAACAGCAGACAGTGGGAGTCGATGGTGAAGGTTGGGCTCGAACCCAGGACCCTCTGGCTCAAAGACCAATGCTCTACCAACTGAGCTACTGTCACCCTTTAGCATTAGACATGTACACTAAGCCACAATCATCAACATGTTAACAAACCCAAGGCTTAATTTTAAAAAGTTAATTGTCTTATGTTTAAGGCTTATTTGAAATGTAAATTGCTTATACCTGCTTTGACAGATTTATTTTTTTCTTTAAAAAAATAATCATCAGACTCTTGCAGAGGTGACATGACATGTATGAAAAAACCCATATTTATATAATACTGCAGTCTATACTGTGAACCCCTCTTATATCTGTGTCTCTGCTAAACATTATTATCTGAAGACCTGAATGTATTTGTTTTACTCACATTGTTACAGTATCTTCTTATACACATTGTGACAAATCATATTAAAAAAAGCCTCATCTTCTCTTGTTCAATCTGAAATAAATCATTTTTTACGGTTGAAACCGCAGCTGCCTTGTCTTCATTTCTCAACGTCTAAAAATCAAACATTTTTTCCGGCTGTGTAAGTGTGAATCTGAAATATAATTAATATTAGCTTAATTCTCGTAAAAAGGAAGGATTTAATTTGGACACAATTTTATAGGAAGTATCGTTCAAGAGCACTTCATTCTGTCCACAGAGAAAAAGAAAGACATGGAAAATATGACACAATTATTATTATTATTATCATCATTATTATTAAGCTGCAATGATAGAAAGAAAAGTCAAAGACAGTTTAGTGTTTGATGCTTTTATTTTGAGGCAGAGGTCGGCTTTAGGCAGCAGCGTCAATATAAAATCATTGAAAACAAATGAACATAGTTTGAGTGTGGTTTTAAAAGTGTCCTGTTTCCATCTGTGAATAAAGTGCACTTATGGACCTGGAAAACGTCCCAGAGGTTTCATGATCATTTACAATCTTAAGGAACAATCATTACGCATAATTTCTGTTCATTTTGTCCCTTAATGATATTAAGAGTATTCACTTTGGTTTAAGAGGCAACAAAACTCATCTAATGGCAGGGGTGATTTAGATCCGAATCTAACATGGTACGATGTAATTATAGTTATGCAGTTGTAAAGGAAAAAAATCATAAAACTGAAGAAAAGTATAAGATTCATTTTGAGACAATACTTTTGTTTTTAAGGCGAGTTTGGACAGAAGGGGAGGGGGGATGCAAGGAAATCCAGATAATTATGAATTCTACATAATGCCCCTGTCCCTTAAAGCAGTTTATTTGAAGCTTGATCAAGTGTGTGGCCTTAATATTTTTTTGTTTTAAACACATTTCTCTTTTATATTGTTATTATATCATTGCATTGATTTGGGATATTTCCTTTTCAAACCATAAACTGAAACTATGCATTTAAATCAGTCTAATACAACTTTTTTCAGTGCGTACTGCACTTTGAAACACATTGACCGAGCGGAGGAACACAAAACTGTCGTAGATGCTGTAAATGTTAAAAAAATACTATTTCAAAACCCTACACCAATATTTCTCATGGATGTTATAATAGTGGAGGACACACAGAAAAACTACTTATTGGTGTAATGTAGCTGCTTCAACAGAGACAGGGTCTGTACCAGAACCACAGTTTGGACACCCCTGGTCTAAAAGTTCAAAGCTCTAAAAAAAAAAAAAAAAAAAAAAAAACCCTTTGGCACATCCAGAGAAAATGAAATATATATATACAATATATTTAAATATATATATATATATATATATATATCATTACAGGCATTTTTTTTACTTGATTTGGATACCAGAATACTTTGTCCAATGGAAGTTACAATAAACACAATATGATATCATGTAAAAACAGCTCCAGGAGTTATAAATACTTCATTTACTACATTTCCAGAGACATGAACTCATCAAGGTAAAATAATTAGGCTGAAGAAGCAAAGGAATATGCCGGAACTGCTGCAAATAGTTTAAAAAAATTAAATGAAATGTTTTTGACCATTTTAAGACCGTTTTCAAGTACAAAATCTAACAAAACAAAATTAAAATTGTCACTGTCGCCTGTATTTCCTGGAAGCTTATCCTCTTCCCTTCTATGGAGAGATCCTCAGAATAAAACAAGTCATTTATCAAGTCTCTAGATTCCCATTTCTTCACCAACCACGTTCCTCATATTCCATACATCCATTTTCTTCCGCTTCATCCAGAGTTGCGTATCGTAGGCAGCAGTCCTCGACCACCATGGAACCCTCGGCTCCTTCACGTGAGTCCAGAGTGGTTCCCCGCCGGTCATAGGTGCAGGTCTATCTTTGCGGGCACGGCTTTGCACCCAGTGGTGGAGAAATACTGTCCGTGTTTGGGGGAGTAGCTCAGGGCGCCCCCCACTGCCTGGACCACGTCACTGCGCCCACAGTGGCCCCTCTGACAGAGCTGGGCGCGCACACACCGCTCCACATGTGCTCGGGTCAGCGGCAAGAAGGGCACGAAGACCGTCACCAGGCCCTGAGACACGACCCGCGAGCCCGAGAAGCCGCCTGTCGAAGGAGGAGGCAAAATTACTCTACCATTTTGTTTTTAAGTTGTTTTTTTCTTTTGTGTCCTTGTGTGTCCCTTGTTGCCTGTCTCTTGTTTAGTGTTTTTTTGTTATGCTTATATTTCTATTGTTTGTCTGCCTTTAATGTCCATAAATAAAACCATTAAAATTAGAATTAAACATTAAAATTAATTGTAGAATGTAGAGCGTCCTGGATCGTCACCACAGATCCTTTAAGCTAGTTCTGTTTAGCTCTGCATGCAACAGATTTTAATCTTTCCTCTTTTTAATGTTCTTTGGCTATTAATGATTTTAATCCTGTGTGTGATTTTAATGGTTTAAGGTTTTTAATTACTTGTGTGATTTTATGGTCTATGTTTTTAATATTTCTTTTGATCTTAATGTTTGTTTTTATTCGTATTTGTTCATGTTTATGTAGATTTTAATGTTTATGATAGATGCTTGATGTGATATGGGTTGTGAGGCGCTTTGTGCTGCCTTTTGTAGGAAAGACACTCTACAAATAAAAGATTAATGATTGATTGATTGATTAATCTTAATCCAATTTGTCCCTCACAATAAGGTAAGCACACAACACAAGATAAGTGAATATTACGTATAGCACAACTCCATATTAAACAACAAAAGATAAAATAAAATCTATCTTGGCTTAATAGAGAAAGTAAGAAAAAAATTATAAAAAGTATTCACATTAGACATTAAATGTGTGTGTTGTGTGTTGACTCCAGTTGCATCAAAAGAGTCATTCCAACTGCGCAACAATGGGTATTTTGACCAAAACCCCAGGGCGCCTTTTCAATACACACTGAGCGACAGTGTTTTGTTGTATCCTAGAAACCTACCTACACCAAAACAGTATCTACATAACATTTGGAGCTGGCAGGCACAAAAAAAGTAGCAGGGAGCAGTTAGACAGGGCCGGTGGAAACGCTCCCAATCAGGGTAGAGTAGTACTGAGTAGAGTAAGGCCAAGTGGGGCTGGTGGAAACGGGGCTATAGTCTGAGGATTGATCATGGTGAAACAAATTTTGAAAACAGAGGATTTAAACAGAAAGCTATTGCCGTGGATCGAGCTAAGAACAACTCCTCTTTAAGTAACTGAGCACTACTAATATTCACAAAGTAGGAAACAGACATCAGGATAAAAAGTAAAGCCCTTCTACCATACTGTACGATGAGGACGTTATTTAAACAATACTATAATTTAGATGCAGCGAGTTGAACCGGTAATGAAGGGGAAGCGTGAGATTGGGTTTCAGTAGGACTCACTGTCTGTGGAGTTGAAGGCCTCGTGTGCGATGGCCTCCTGCAGCTCGTTCAGTCTGATCTCGTCTCGGTCTCGGTCCGAGCGGCGAGCGGCCAATACTGCTTTCGAAATCACCTCTTCGCCAACAGTGCTGAGAAATAAAGAACCACATGATTAGGGAGCCATTAAGAACCACAGGAAACACAAGATTTACTAATACTGCACTGTCACTCCATGTGCTCCCATCATCCACCATGACCAAAGCAAACCAAACACCCAAGATATCAGTGTTGCCAGATGTGTCCTTTCCCCGTGTAATTTGGCAGCATTTTAAGGGGCCGCTGTTCCTGAAAAGTATATATTTTGAGCCAGAGATATTTTCCATAATACGGGTCTGTGTAGCGTTCTTACGGTGAAAGATTCAGCCGTATGCTCCACCAATTTGTGGGTAGTTTTCCAACCACTGAAGACTCTCCACAGTACATATTACAATCCATATATCTCTTACCACACCATTGTATTTCTATTAAACGCCTTCAAATTGAATAATTGGAACCATTTCAAGTGCAAACAAGTGGCCGGACTCTTTCTGAGGCTATGGCCCTGTAGTTTTGGCTTCTGGTGACACTGGTATAAGTGGGAAAAATCTCTGCATGGAGAAATACTCCAAACTCCAAAGTCCACCTAAATGTTCTTACAGGCTTTATTTGTGAGTTCAAAACCGCAATATTTTATCTGACTCTAAAAAGACACATTTCCATTTCCAGGAGTCTGGTGATGATTTGTTTCATTCACTCCATGTATGTAAATTTCTCCTGTGTGAGATCAATAAAGTCTATCTTATCTTATGTATGGAGTGAATGAAACAATATCTGAACTCGGAACATTGTAAAGCGCTTTAGGTGACCTGGGTCTGGAAAAAATGCTCTATATTAATAAACATTGCATTACATTACATTGAACAAAAAAATGGCAAATAATTTCATATAATGTAATGTTTTTCTATTGTCTTAAAGATTTTACGTTAGAACATCCTCAGATTACTCATACAGTGCCTTGCGAAAGTATTCGGCCCCCTTGAACCTTTCAACATTTCGCCACATTCAGACTTCAAACATAAAGATATAAAATTTTAATTTTTGTCATGAATCAACAACAAGTGGGACACAATCGTGAAGTGGAACGAAATTTATTGGATAATTTAAACTTTTTTAACAAATAAAAAACTGAAAAGTGGGGCGTGCAATATTATTCGGCCCCTTTACTTTCGGTGCAGCAAACTCACTCCAGAAGTTCAGTGAGGATCTTTGAATGATCCAATGTTGTCCTAAATGACTGATGATGATAAATAGAATGCACCTGTGTGTAATCAAGTCTCCGTATAAATGCACCTGCTCTTTGATAGTCTCAGGGTTCTGTTTAAAGCGCAGAGAGAACCATGAAGACAAAGGAACACACCAGGCAGGTCCGAGATACTGTTGTGGAGACGTTTAAAGCCGGATTTGGATACAAAAAGATTTCCCAAGCTTTAAACATCTCAAGGAGCACTGTGCAAGAAATTATATTGAAATGGAAGGAGTATCAGACCAATGCAAATCTACCAAGACCCGGCCGTCCCTCCAAACTTTCATCTCAAACAAGGAGAAGACTGATCAGAGATGCAGTCAAGAGGCCCATGATCACTCTGGATGAACTGCAGATAACTACAGCTGAGGTGGGAGAGTCTGTCCATAGGACAAAAATCAGTCGTGCACTGCACAAATCTGGCCTTTATGGAAGAGTGGCAAGAAGAAAGCCATTTCTCAAAGATATCCATAAAAAGTCTTGTTTAAAGTTTGCCACAAGCCACCTGGGAGACACACCAAACATGTGGAAGAAGGTGCTCTGGTCAGATGAAACCAAAATCGAACTTTTTGGCCACAATGCAAAACGATATGTTTGGCGTAAAAGCAACACAACTCATCACCCTGAACACACCATCCCAACTGTCAAACATGGTGGTGGCAGCATCATGGTTTGGGCCTGCTTTTCTTCAGCAGGGACAGGGAAGATGGATGGAGCCAAATACAGGACCATTCTGGAAGAAAACCTGTTGGAGTCTGCAAAAGACCTGAGACGGGGACGGAGATTTATCTTCCAACAGGAAAATGATCCAAAACATAAAGCCAAATCTACAATGGAATGGTTCACAAATAGACGTATCCAGGTGTTAGAATGGCCAAGTCAAAGTCCAGACCTGAATCCAATCGAGAATCTGTGGAAAGAGCTGAAGACTGCTGTTCACAAAAGCTCTCCATCCAACCTCACTGAGCTCGAGCTGTTTTGCAAGGAAGAATGGGCAAGAATTCCAGTCTCTCTATGTGCAAAACTGATAGAGACATACCCCAAGCGACTTGCAGCTGTAATTGCAGCAAAAGGTGGCGCTACAAAGTATTAGCGCAAGGGGGCCAAATAATATTGCACGCCCCACTTTTCAGTTTTTTATTTGTTAAAAAAGTTTAAATTATCCAATAAATTTCGTTCCACTTCACGATTGTGTCCCACTTGTTGTTGATTCTTGATAAAAAAAATAATTTTTACATCTTTATGTTTGAAGCTTGAAATGTGGCGAAATGCTGAAAGGTTCAATGGGGGCCGAATACTTTATTATAACACTGTATTATAGGCAAAAAAGAGATTCAAATTGGAGACAAAGCATCTTCCCAGGACTTTGATAGAATTGGGTTTACCTGATGAAGACGTAGATGGCCTTGCGGTAGTTGGTGCTGTAGACCACGTGGAAAGGCCCGAGGAAAGGCTCCAGGACGTCGATGAGTCCCGGGGGCATCTTCTCCATCTCATCAAAGAGGAAGACCGAGCGGGCGCACTCCGTTAGATTCCCCTGCACCCAGTCCTTCAGTGCCCTCTGCAGCACAAGCAGGGAATCACAGTCACAGCTAAAGTTGAAGATCAGAACTTTAGCAGAGAAAGACCAAACTGAGTGTTTATTGTGAGTATACGGCAAAATGTGTTTGACTGTGAAATGTGATTATTCAGGTCACATTGTAAACATACTGACCAGAACACAGCAATTGTGGAAAAAGGTATTTTGACTTCAGTTTATAAACCTCATGCAAAGGTAACATGGTTGAAAAAGCCAAAAAACATTGTACACTGATACTACATACTCTGCTAAAAGACATGCTTGCAAATGCTCATATTTTAGTTACAGTATTAACGGAAGTAGATTACACTCAAATATGTTAAATGGTAATCAAATGGAAACAAGTCCGGCCCTCCACAATATGTCAATATCCCAATGTGGCCCCCAGGAGAAAATAATTGCCCTCCCTGGGTCTAAGACGACAGTGAAATGTACCAACAAAAACCTGTGTTGTGTTTAGTGAATGCGTTGTGTGTGGAGCTGGTTCTGACCCGGTACTTGTCCACGTGCTGGGCCTGGGGGAAGTGCAGCGTGGGGATAAACTGGTGGACGAACGGGCTGTTCATGCCGGACCCGTACAGGTGTGAGCCCAACATGGAGCTGACCAGAGTCTTCCCTGTTCCCGAGGCGCCGTGCAGAGACAACACCAGGGGGCGATCAGGACTCTTTGTCTGGAGGAACGTGGACACTTCCTGGGACACGGCCTCTTGCGCCAAGTGCTGCCCGAACACATTCTTGTACAGGTCCCACTCCAGGCCTGAGGCACAAGGAAGCAGGAGTTTCATTGTTGTTATTTTAAAAATATAAATGGTATTAAAAACATCTGTCACTCTATCACACATGGAGTTACCCAGGTGTGATGCAAACTTTGAAGCATAAGCAAGGAGGTATTTGTTGAAATAGGATACAATCTTGGTACATTTCGTCCTGCTGTATGCAAACACTAATATTACCCTGATTGTGACTCTTAATTGTAAATTTGGCAGATGAAATTGCAACAAATGGGACCATTTATCTCAGTCCAGGACAAACGACTAATATCTTAGTGAGTCCCAATATTAGACATGATTTAGCTTAATGTTGATTAAGATGGCATTTTATGATGAAAACTAAAATGTGTGCTTGAATATGAGTGTAGAAAAGTGTGCGACTCAATGAACGTTCAGCAGCAGTGAGCAGGCCCCATACTGAGAAACAGCTCCATCTGCTTGTAGCAGTGGGAATTACAGCCGCAGTGCAAAGTTTGTTTATGGTTGTAATGGGAGCACGCCAAGCCCCGGCGATCCAAGATGGCGCCCTATTCAAATGAATGGTTGTGCTCAGTGGCGCTTTGTGACGGCATGGGGGCTGAAAGATTAGCGGAAGTTGCCTGAAACTCGCAAAGATCTATGGGAAACTCGCCTGTATTTGGGCATCGTCTGGTCCTCCCGGTTCTGCGCAGTGGATGATCTCCCATAATGCGTTGCGCCAAACACGCGTGTGTGGGTCTCACACCGGGTCTCACGCACGTGCACAGAGGGGCTCGGCCGCGCTCTGACCAATCAGAGCAGTTCATCAGAGCGGGAGTTAGAGCGAGAGCCAGAGGAGCAGAGTTTGTGGCACTAAAGTGTGGATTTAAACAAAACTGAAGGATTTAAGAAGAAAAAAAGTTCAGGATGACAAGGGACACTAAAATCCCCACAAAATCCGACCTTTATGAAAGCTGTAGGTTCTCTGTCAGCTGAGGTTGAGCTGTTTTAATATGCATTGAGTTCTATGGGGAACATTTCTGGGTAGCCCACGTGAATTTAGTCTGGTTCAGTCTGCAGTACCGCGAGGATCCCCTGAGCACGTGAGTTATTCAGCTACAAGCTAGTAATACCCTATCCAGTTAATATAATACATCCATGGAGCACGCTATACATAGTTCCTACATGACGTCACTACATACGGGGATTTGCCGACCCGGCGCCATTTGTGTTGGCATTCTGTGGGCAAAACAATAGAAAAAGAAGCTGAAACGTGTTAATGTCGTGATAAAGTTGAAAATGGTCATCTCCTGCTGGGTCAATGGATGTTCAAATCGTGCCGGAGGTTCCGTTAAACTTGGATTTTACAGTATACCCATCATTAGACTTCATGAATGTGAGAAGACTAAGCTTTTGTCAGAACAACCACGGAGGTTATGGCTTGCGAAGATAAACAGGCAAGAAACTCCCTCAAAACACGCAAGAATATGCTCGGAGCACTTTGTGTCAGGTGCGTATCGTATCTTATAATGTGTTGACAGACGTAATTTACTCAGTACTAACTTGTGTATGCTGATATCTGGTAACTTGAGAGTTTCATTATTTAGATTACTTTATTATGAGGAGGATCGGTGTCGCGTCCGAGGCTCTCGAGGGCAACGTAAATGTATTAAATAGATAATAATAGTTCTATGGTGGGCTAAAACAATGTTCACAAACAGCATTGCTTCTGTAAAAAGATCTGTGTCATAAAATAAACTGCTCTTTACGCCTGGAAAAATCAGTTGCCCACCATTCACCAAAACATACGGTCAAAAACGCGGAAATAAACAATAACAGCAATCCAGAGTGTCCGTGTGGCATTAGCATTAATTAAATTAATTGTTAATATAATTAAAATAATTAAATGGAGCTCCAACTGGTATTAAATCTAAAGTTTTTGAGAAATGTTTGCATTGCTTGTTAATTTTTGCTGCATAATTTGATCAAATATGTAAAACATGTCCGTAGCACGTTAAACTGTGGTGCCATTGTATTAATATACAATTATTTGCTCAAAAGTTGCCCTTTTTTTCCAATTTGCGTTTGAATATCTACATTTATTCTCATTCTTCTGTTTAATGGAATGCACAAACACAGCAGCGTGCCATCAAAGATGGCGTCTCCGAGGAGGTCATGTGACATTCATTGGTCTGTGGGAACTATGTATTGAAATTGGCGATTTGACTTAACTGTCAAATGTCACGATAATTACTATATTGATTTATCAATAACTAATGTATGGACAAATATACGGCACTGGGGATGAATATTTACAGTGTGTAAATTTCGTATTTTGGTTATAGTGAGATTGGAAAGAGTCAGGACCCAGTGTTCAGAGAAGTGAGGTGAAGTGATAATAACCTGGATAAAGCGAAGACAATAACACAAAATAGGGAATGCAATAAACAAACTATGTGATTTGGATCGTAATGAAAAAGCAGGAAAGTAGGAAAATATATATATATTATGTTATAAAATAAAAGCTGAACCAAAAGCCTTGAGTCTGATTCAAAGATTGATCCATAAAACATGTTGATACAGATGTCAACAACAGGAGCTGCACTTCCGGATAGCTAGCAAACCTAGCAAGACGGGTAAATAATGTATTCAATTGCAATTTCAATCAAGTGCACTAGTGTACACTAATGGACCTAACCCTCAAGTAAGTTTCAAACAGATCACGCTGTTACAATTGTACTATTTTGGTCTCGTTCGCTGTTAGCCTCGTTAGCATTAGCATTAGCACCTCCGCAGCTTCTCTACCTCTGATGTCTGGCTTGAAGTCGCACTCGCAGCTCTCGGACAGGGAGCAGTACAGCTTTTTGAAGACGCCATGGACCGGGACGAACAGCGGTAACAGCGTCCACAGACAGCGGCTCCACATCTTCACCGCAAACGGGACCATGCACAGTGAAGCTTCAGCGCACACACCGGTCTGTAGTTTTTTGAGACGAGCACAGAACAGGCGGAGTGACGTAATGGACTACAATTCCCACAAGACCCACTGTGTCCCACTCATACCGTTATTATCTGTGCTATCAGAGTACACGTTGGACGATAAAAGTTCACTGATGTCATCACGTGGGAACATGGGTCAGAATAAGTTTATAATTAGATCTAATTTGTTGATACAATTTCACACTGTGGGACTGGTAAAGGTTCTCATTCATTGTAGGTAAGTTATGCTTTCTTACGCACGCACGCGCGCGCACACACACACACACACACACACACAATTAATGTTGTTATTATTGAGGACGTCAGTGGAATACTTTTTTACTTTTTTATACCAGGTCTGTCCACTCAGAGAGGACACACCCAGAGAAAGAGAAATGAAAGAGGAAATGTCCCAATACCAGTGACACACCTCTATTGTCAATCATTAGTAAATATGGAGGCGTAGTATTGCCTCATTACAATTTTCAATATATTGTCTTATTATTAAATTTGGTCAGATCTGTCATTAAGTTAAAGAGTAATAATTATCATGTAAAGTGAAAAAATAATGCTATAATTAGTTCTGCAGTTTTGAGTGAGGTGTGACAGTTGCTTCAGTCACACATGACGACAACTATTTCACAGTATCGTCCAGGAAACTGCTCCCACTGCAGCATCTCTGTTCAAGTGAGGTAACATGTACTTATGCTGCTGTGAAGATAAACTACGGCACTGACATGAAGAAATGCAAACTGAGTGAGTACTTTTGGCTTGTGTTATGTAAAATAGTATGTTTGTTATGTGATGCCGGGTGAATTCTTCTGATATTTTTTAGATTAATACGAAATTGTAATCAAGCAATACACAATATATGATATGATTGAGGGTGTGAGATTGAAACTCACTGATGTTTGACCCAAAGCTGTTCAATTCAAATCCATTACATATATTTTTGTATAACCCTTAATCCCAAAAGTAGTTGTAGTAGCAATGACAAACACTCCCCATTCTGTGTCCATGGGAAAATCCTAAAATCTCTCAAATTTTAACCTTGCACTGTTGATGATCCCGCCTCGGTCTAAACAACTGTAGAATCAGAAGTTGGCTCCATATTTGTGGTTACACATTTAAATGGCGTGCACAGACTCACATTTTTGGCTTATTTCTAAACAGATGCATGAAAGGTCCCATGTTATTGGATGGAGACACACACTCACTGATCATAGGCATAGACATTACATTTATATTTATTTTTGTTGTAAGTTGTTGTCAGTATTCGGTCTGGTTTAGGACATGAACAACCTCAAAGTTTAACCATGAGCACAACGTTGATCCTTCATTAAAATAAAATCTAGAGTTCTCATTTGTTTCAGAAACTCCTGGCACAAACCAGGCAAACATTGGGCGGCACGGTGGCTGAGTGGATAGCACTCTCGCCTCTCAGCAAGAAGGTCCTGGGTTCGAATCCCGGTTGGACCAGGGCCTTTCTGAGTGGAGTTTGCATGTTCTCCCCGTGTCTGCGTAGGTTTCCTCCGGGTGCTCCGGTTTCCCCTACCACTAAAAATATGTACAATAGGTATGGCATGTGCCTCCTGTACTGGCACCCCCATCCAACAATTGTAAACCGCTTTGAGACTCTGATGTGCAGTGAAAAGGCGGTATATAAATAAAAGCTTACTTACTTACTTACCAGCAGAAACTTGTCAATCTCCATCCATCTAGAAGCTCTTCTTTCAAGTTTTCTGCCTTTCATATCAAAATAAATGAGATAGGAAATATAATGTCTTCATATAAATACACACATATAAAATACCATAAAGCTCTGGGATCATCTGCATGTGAAAGCCAGATCCCGTCGGACCTCTGAAGCTAAGCAGGGCAGGACCTACTGTATGATGGGAGACCTGTAGGAACACCAGGTCCCACAGTGGAGCAGCTGTAAAGTGCCACACTGTGTGTGTGAGTTAATGGTTGAAGGTGATCTGAGGGGCTGATGGCACAGACTGGAAAGCGAGTGTTGACCTCAGCACAGTGTAATGGGAGGAGAGGTGTAGTGTGTGTGTGTGTGTGTCTCATACTATCTGTGGTAGTATTCTATTGTAATAATATGGGGATTGGACCAATATAAGAATTAATTTCCTCCCTCTCCTTTTCAAATTTTTTATATATCTGTGTCTATGAATATGTTATTTTTGGTGTTGAATTTGGAAGGTTTTGAAATAAATAATTGAAACAACAAATCTATATCCTATTTTCTGAGCCCAGATTGATATTGTTACATTCCAGTCTTCTGCTTGTCTCCCTCAGGTCTGAAGTGGTTCGGGAGTCTGTCGAACCTCTCCAAAGAAAGGCCTGTCCCAGTGCATGATGGGAGAGAGGCGGAGGAGGCGTGGCTACATGGCGTTGGAGACAAGCTACGCCCCCTGTGTTATGCTCGCTCGGCTCAGATGTACACACATGTGGGAACCGTGCCGCGGGGAACACGCACAAAAGAGCACACACAGGATGACGGGTGATACTACTACTACTACTATTAACTACTTCTACATATACAACCAAAGCTACAACTGCAAAAAGGTTCGAATCTACCTTTTTGCAGTTGTAGCTAGGGATCGAATCCCAGTTGAACAGGGTCTTTCTGTGTGGAGTTTGCATGTTCTCCCCATGCCTGCGTAGGTTTCCTCCGGGTGCTCCGGTTCCACTACCACTAAAAACATATACAATAGGTAAAATCCCCCAGCTGGGGTAGTCCTGACCAAGCCAAGCATCAACATCTGCTGACTGGTCCCCAGGAGCTGTTACTACATCAGGATGGGTCAAATGCAGAGGATGAATTACCCTACGGGGATAAATAAAGTGCACATTTACCTTTACTACTACTAGTACTCCTACAACTACTGCTACAACTAAAACATCTGCTCCTATTAACTTCAGCTGCAACAACAGAAACTACTACTACAACTACTCCAGTGGTGGAAAAAGTACTTAATGTGGTTATTCAAGTACAAGTACAGATACAACCGTAAAAAAGCACAAGTATCAAGTATTTGCGACTATGGGCCCGCTCTCACTTTGTCTGGTTCACTTTAACTGAACCGATGATTTTGTTTCAAAATGTTTCAACCACATACTTGCATTCATAAATAAATATATTTTGCCTCAAGTGAAGCTAATCTAGTCCAGTTAAAAACAACACAGCCAGGGTTACTCAAATATACTGTGAGTAGACTAAACTGTAGGGATTGTTTATATGTTTTTTTAGAAGTGTACAGAAAACTAATGTATATTATATAGTGATTTTATTGTAGATTAGATTTATAGATTGTAATGATTTTTGTACTCACCTGTCCAGGGACTGCAGATGGAAAATAGCTACTTTGCTAAATCTGGTACAAATCATCTCTTCTTTTGTAAAGACTAATGGTTTTGTACACTGTCCCTGTTTCAATAAACAATAAACATAGTTGAATATACAAAATATGAGAAACATTTTCTCCTTTTGACTCGTTAGATGGATTTATGACATCAATCTTTGGGTTTTGAGAGTTAGCTACCCCAGCTTTAATCTCATGAAATACAATGAATATGACATTACATCCTTATTACTTTGTTTCAGATCAAAATGTTCTCTGGAAAATGTGCGGGACTCCCCTTTGCTCGGAGCTCTGCAGACCCGGGCCCCTGTCTCCACTTCCCCTGCAGCTCCTCTCTCTCCTCGCTGTCACTCTGGTGGAGGGGAGACCCAGCTGAAGCCAAAGAGCTGCTGCGAGGAGGAGAGGACTGAGAAGAAGGAGAAGGAGGAGGACAGTTCTGAGGGAGTGTATGTTGTAATGGAACCGGTTCAGCTGCAGACACCAGCGCTCCCCGAGAAAGAGGGAAGAGGACGGCGGAGAGCAAACAGGTTTCTTCTTCATGACTTTGATTGTAAAAACATTCTAATGAAATTCTGTAGGGCATCACTATTGACAGAACGGTTTCACTTACTGATTATTGTGAAAAGAGACGAGAGACGAGAAAAGATCTTTGCGACTATTTAGAAAACATCTTTAATTTGTCATAATTTTAAGAAAGATCCCTGTGAGTCACCACAACACTTTGGGCTGAGAGCTGATTGGCTGAGTGGGCGGTCCATTAGAAAAAGCTGAGCTAAGATGGGACAGAAACTTAAAAATATGTGAAAACTAGTGATAGAACCAAACACGGGCGAGGAATTAGTTATGTGGATGTTACTGCATTGTTCATTGTTTTGTGGTGTGAAATATTAGGTGCCCAGGCTTTAGTTTATCATTTCAATCACAAGCTGCTCATAGTGGACGCTTCCTTATGGGTAGATGATGTATTTCTGTGACATTGATACAAATATGTTGAAAGTGCTGTGTAGGCTTTATGGCACGTGAAAGAAAACACAGCTTGCTCTAATTAGATAGCTGGATATTTTATTTGTCACATACAAGTATAACTGTTATTATATAATAATGACTATTTCATGTAAACTGTTGCTATGTCATCATTTTGTTGACAGGAAGCTGCTTTATTATGTTGTTTCATATCAATATTGATAAGGAAGATTCACAATTGTACATTAATTTACTGTTTTTTCAATAATTGTCCATTATTTTGGGTAATTGGATATTTAACAAAGGGGCACCATGCATCTTTTTTTGTGGAAAAAAGGTCTGGAATTTGTCTGTAATTGACACAGTGCCTATAAGAGTGGTCAGCATTTAACCTTTACTTTCCATCACAGTGGTCTCTAGGATGCTATAAGATCATTTGTTTGGAAGCCGCTGGGTCATTACATGGTCAAATATGCAAATATATATATATATAATTCAGAGGAATTTTTTTTGCTTTACGGGTTTCCCCTTTGCACCACAAACCACAGTCAAAATATTGTATCAGCGGTTCTTTATTGGCCTCTAATCCACTATAAACACAACACAATTCCGCTGTCATTGACACCTCCAAACCTTGCAGCACCTGTGCCGTCTAATTCTGGGTCAGATGAATGAAAGAAGTTTATTTTGGTCGTCACTTGTACAATTTTACACATTGTTACAGAGCAGTAAATTTACAGCAGAAAGGCAGAAAAGGAGTAGGCTGAAGCTAATGGATAAAGGGCCTTCGTCCCCACCGCTGTCAGACTGTACAATAAGTCACTTTAATGACCTGCACTAGGACTGAAAAACTTGCACTGCTATAGTCACTTTCAAATTTTATTTTACATAATATATCCTGCACAAAATAGTTTGCACACTTCCTGTCTTTTGCACACCCTGAGTGATTCTATTTATGTCAGATGTGCACAGATAACATACAGCCCACATCCCCGTCTCGTTGCAAGGGTTCTACATTATATATTTATAAAAAGTTGAAGAAGTCAATGCATGTATGCCCTGAGAGATCTCATCCTAAGCCTCACACAGATCAAAAAATGCATGAAAATTACACAGTAAACGTGTAAATGTCACGTGTTATTTATGATAATTAGACAGTTTTGTTCTGAAATGTCACCTCCACTTGACTCAAACTGATCTCAAATCTCTTTCCGTAAATATGTTCGAAAGGTCTACTAAATGACTCAATAAAGAACTACGTGTTTCCGCATATATAGAGTTTCAGAAAGATGAAAGATGAGGCTTGTTACCTTTGTAATTTTTTAGATTAAAACTAATTGTTTGATCTTTTGAAATGTACTAAATGTAATAAAGTCATCTTTATTGGCAAAGCACATTTCACAGACCACGGTCACAATCAAATCCAAAATGATTAATTAAAAGAAAGTGAGTCTACTTCTTTATGTAAAATACTGTATTCTCACCTACAGCACATTCAGATAAACAAGAAACAGAAAAGGTCTCGGTGCCTAAGTTTAGCGCATGGAGGAAAGAGAGTGATGGGAGGTAGGTGCAGGTGTTTAGGCCTGTGTCTTGTCTCAGTGTTTGTGTCTCATAAGAGCTTTCTTCATCCAGCCCCTTTTCAAAGCTCTGTTATTTTGTTGTTTTAAATTGTGTTGTACGATTTGTGTTGATTTTTTTAATTCAATGTCATCGTGTTGCACATCTGAAACCAGGAGAAGTGTGTGTGTTTTAGTACAATGACAGCCTGGTTGAACCACAACATAGTACAAATTACATCTCGTACTAAGGTCTGGACGTGCTCCATTGAGCTCCATTAAAAGGTGGGAGGGGTTAACTCCTTTTGCAGATTGAAACGATTGGATCTGAGTTTACCGTGACGTATGTAATGCGCCCGAGTCTGTTGTTAGCATTTAGCATTTAGCCTAGCCATCTCCTTTGCCGCTAACGGAGCCCGTGGGGAGTAGCGCTAATTACATTTGCTAAACATTCCTCTTGCTCCGGCTTCAATTTCTTGATAGAACCAGACAGGAATACTATACTATCGCATTCTTCGCCATTGCCAAACCACAACCGGCCCGTTCAAACTCTTGACGTCACCCACAACTAACTACAACACCTGCCTCCCGCGCTCGCTGATTGGTCGGTCGAAATTCAATTGATTGTAATCACAAACACAGGGACCAGGCCAGACGTTACATGCAGTGAAATGATGATTGAGCGGAGTGTACGGATGGATAAGGCCAGGCTAGTACAATGAGGGCAATAGCACAGAATCCCCTCATAGGCTGGTGCGGTCTAAACCAATCGCTCAGTCATTGTTCAGGCTTTCAAATCGATAAACAAAGAATATATATCCTTTTCATGAAAACACAAGGACATGTTATTGCTGCATGAAATACACAGCTCAACACTCTTTTCAATCATTTTTATCTTGTTTTTAATCATCTATAACTATCATTCCATCGCCCAGCCCTGTGTGGAGTGAGAAGACAAATGCCAAAAAACGACAACTGTAGATCGCTTAATGACTCTGGTCTGTGAAAGATTTACTTACTCACTAATATGACTATTTATTGCTCTCTATTTTACTGTATTATTACTATTACACTTTTCATGACTTCTACATCGCAAAAAAGTGCTGGCAAATGTGCAGATGTCAAAATGTCAAACTAACAAAGTAGTCGGTGTTTTGAGCCAATGGAAAGAGCAATCAGTAAATATCATTAATATTACTCGAACATGCTTGGATCCTAATTCCTTTGTTTAGAGAAACAAAAATAGAATACAATTACGTCATTCCCTGTTTTATTTAGAGCGATTCCTGCAGTACCTCTATCCCTCTGACCAGCTGGGAAAAAAACACCTGGTTTAATCGCTCCCCATTCATTCATAATATGTACAGAATGTGTGTTGAAATAGTCTTTTAAAAACATTTTGCAAAGAGGGAAGTTTATGGCACAACAGCGGCAGTAAACGAGGCTCTGGGCTCTGGGGGTTTCCGGACCAAGGCTGGACGCGGTTTAAGACATTTTTACAGTTTAGACCTCAGAGAAATTAGGCTCGGCAACTTCAAAGTATTTTCTTTTTTGTCCTAAGGGAGTAATTAAAAAATAGTGCACCTTTTTAAGTTGTGGCCACAAATTTTTTTCAGGTGGAGGCCCTTTACTCTGGAGACACTCAAACAGACAAGAGGGGGTTATAAGAATTGTATTTATTGGTTGACATATAGTAACAATCTGTTACTGCAAAAATTACAAAAAGAAGAGACATTAAATGCAGGAATGACATTTACTGCATGCTGTACATTAAATGTGATTTGGCACTCAGTGCTCTACCGGGGTCCAAGGAGAAGGGTTGAAGAGCTGGTCTGGTTGATTAGGCGGTGATGGGGAGGAGGAGGGTTACTGCACGATATTAAATCATATTGATTGATTTATTTATTTTTTATTTAACCTTTTTTTTTTACCAGGAAAGTCCCATTGATCTTAAGAACCTCTTTTCCAAGGGAGTCCTGGACAAAAATTTAAGATAAGATAAGATAGACTTTATTGTGACGTTCAGTCTTTTAAAGGTGCTATATTAATAAAGGTCACTTACTAGCACTTGCAGAACGGCAAAAGTGTGACGGGTTGAGCAATTTTTATTTTCATGTTTTTATGAAAGACCAAGGGGAGGAACTATTTTAAACTTGACCACATAGTTAAAGGCGCTACACCCGTTTCTGCAATGTTTGAATGTTTAGCACCGCCCCCCAACTCGCTCACAGGCTTCTCATTTCCCCTACGCTCTCATAACACAGAGCCACCTAGTTTTATTTGCGATCTGATACATATGCTAACATTAGTATTAGCGCAACTTCTTGTAAGCTGTACAACAATCACTGATGAAATGGCACTAAAGCAACGCACTGCTAACACCATATATAAGTAAAAGAATACCGCTAGTTTTGCGTCTGAATGTATTAATTTAAACATTAGAATATATTCTAATATTTAATTATAATTTATTATACAGCTCCTCACAGCAGCAGCACTTCATTGACTTGAATGCAATTCTTTCGATAATTTTTTCTTGATAACAGAACTCTCAAACCAATAATGATTGCAGCCCCAATGCAATCTCTGTTTGTAATTCAGGTGTGTACTAACATTACTCCGCAAGTACAACAAGCTATCAGCGCCTGTCACTACATTGTGCAGTTTCTCTGCACACTCTTCTGTGTAGAGAAGCTAGCGGAGCTAGCCACGCTCAATAAACAATACATATCTATCAATCAACACCATTAAACGTTAATCGGACAATACAGTATACATATACATCCTTAACACACATGTACGGACGATTTCAGAATTTGCTGTTAACGTTTTCATGACAAAAATACTGTTTTGATGTGACAAAAAGCAATCGCGAGAAACCAGGAAGTTACCATGAAACAGCTAGCTAGCTTAGCTGTTACCTGCCTAGCACGTCCCGGTGGAACCTTTGGGAGCTAACTATTTTATTTGCACTCAATTAAATACATTTCGTATTATAAGGGCTGTCTAATATTTGTTCAAATATTTTTTTTTAATTTATTTTAGAATTATATTCAAATTTTGAAGTCGAAGCCCTGTGTTAAGCAGCGCTGTAGAGGCTAGAGGACGCAGGCTGTTCGCTGCTCGTTCTGTGAGTGGAGTCCCGCTGAGACCCTGTTCAGCACTTTTCAAGGCCTAAACTCATACACCGCTGAATCAATGACCTCAAGTTTTCAATTAAATTATGTATTATGATACAACTTGTCTTTAGTAAAAAGCATTTTTATGAACTACTTAGAAAAAAAATTGGGTATAGCTTCTTTAACTTTCTATGATTTGAAAGTCAGGTACCCCAGCTTTAAAAACCTCTGTAATGAAATAAAGTTATCAGCAACATATAGGGCAAAAGTTGAAAACACCTTCCATGTCCATATTTATCTCTGTAGTCGTACATTCTTTCTAAAGCTGGCCTCATCCTATATCGAGCCGTCTTATTACACACAGTTCACTTCTAATTAAAGAATAACACTTAAAAAAGCGTCCCTGTAGTCCGGCTCTTAGTACGGCTCTTAGTCCGGCTCGTAGTCCTTGTATGGTCCCTCTCTCGGCCTTTCTCACGGTCCATGCTGCGTTACATAAGTGCGCATATTTTCTGGATTCTTGCACCTCCGCCTCTTCCCTCTGCAGACCCCAATCAGCCTCTGTCCTTGGCCCTTGTTTTGAAGCTGTCCTGTACACAAACCGATGAAATTTGGCACAAGAAAAAAGAGGTGGGAGAAAACGACAAAAAATAACAACTGTTTATATGTTTTATTATCTTGTTTTCTGAGAATCGTCGTACGAACAATATACAGTATAGTCATTTCTCACGACTGGGTTTGAAATCTGTGATTATTTAATTTAATTTAAAATGTTGTACAAAACATTGAAGTAAATGGCTGCAATCTATAAGGAAATATGTCATTAGCTGACCTTATTATCGTTGATTAGGCTGAATGTAGTTCAAATCCAACCAGATTCAGATTAGTAAACAGTAAAAAGATATTCATATTGATAGTTTTTACGTTCATACCAAATTATGAAATAGTGAGCCGATATCGTAGTTGTAGTAAATATCTATTACTTTCATTTTAAACAGACCACATAAACTTGGACTAAAGACTGGACCACAATTTGGACTAAGACCGGACCACATAGATTTGGACGAAGGCTGGACCACATAGACTTGGACTAAAGACTGGACCACATAGACTTGGACTAAAGACTGGACCACATAGACTTGGACTAAAGACTGGACCACATAGACTTGGACTAAGACTGGACCACATAGACCTGGACGAAGGCTGGACCACAGAGACATTGACTAAAGACTGGACCACATAGACTTGGACTAAAAACAGGACCACATAGACTTGGACTAAAGACTGGACCACATAGACCTGGACTAAGGCTGGAGTGAGCCAACACAGCTGATGGGTGTGAGCTCCAGAGTGGCTCATTTAAGAATCATATTCAGATTTCAGCGTTCTCAAAAGTCCTGTTGCATAATCCTGTAAAGCAGAGTTCCCAAATTGCTTCAGACGCTGGACCAAAAGTATGAAGTAAAATCCACTCATATTCATGTTTTGCTTTAATTTAAATACAAAAAACTTTAACGTCAAGATCACCATCGTTTTCTTAGTGGAAATATTGTTTAAAAGTAAAATGATGAGCAACACAACTTCTTCTGCAAGTTGATCATTATAATCAAGAGCTAATTCAGATGGATGACATTTGCAGGCTCAGCAGTTCTTATTGTACAGTCTGACAGCAGCAGGAAGGAAAGACCTACGGAACCTCTCCTTCAAACAGCGAGGGTGAATTAGTCTGTCACTGAAGCTGCTCTCCAGAGCAGAGAGAGTGTCCTGCAGGGGGTGACAGTCATGGTCCAGCGTAGATGTTAGTTTGCTCAGGACCCTCCTTTCCCCCACCTGCTGCACTGTGTCCAAGGAACAGCCCAGGACTGAGCTGGACTTCCTGATGACCTTGTCCAGCTTCTTCCCGTCCCAATAAAGTCTATCTTATCTCATCTTAAACTGAAATGTACTGTATTTTGAGTCACTATTTGACACTTTGGACTGAGTGAGGGTGGTCCACTTTTACTTTTCTGTGTTAAAAAGCGGATCTAAAGATGTGAGAGAGACGGCTAAAAATACATTCATGTGAAAACTAGTGATTAAAGAGAGAGAGAGGAACTGTGGGGGTTAGCCTGGCCTTAGCTTTCCGTAAACTGCGGTCAATTCTCACTTCCCTGTTTTTTTTATAGTGTTGTTCAAACTAGATTTCTGATAATAACTGACAATAAACAGCTTGTCAATTTTTTTCAAACATGTGTAAGTTCCATTTTAAAATAGAAACTGATCAGACTGCTCAGCCTCCTGATTGGACATAATGAATTCAAATCCTTTTGCTCTCTTGACCTTTTTTAACTATTCTCCTCCAGCAAATTTTACCAGTCCAAGTTATGCCAAGGGGAGAAACTATTCTAAATACATTACTGTTGAAAATTACTTATTGTCTATAGTACAGTGTCCCTTGGTCAGAAATAAGAAGATATCCTTTATTATTCCCCATGTAAGCCTTCCATCGCTGTGAATAAACTCTGTATTTGATCAGGATGTCCATGGGATCTCCTCTCCACGTTGCAGAGGTCAGAGTGAGGCTTATGACTGATTCGACAGAGCTCTGCAGATTTGGGAAACGTTCATGTCATGTTTTAATCCAGATTATCCCCACATTTAGGTACATACATTTTCAAAGCGGTAGAAATGCAAACGTTGACATGCGGTGGGTTCATTTCTCTCTAGTTTGTCTGTGATACTGTGGTGTTGGGACCCATTAATATAAATTATATTACCTCAAACAAGGAACTATGTTTTTTTAGTTTTGAACAATTTCTAGTTTTAAAAACTGTAGTTTGGATTGAATTTTGTTTGTTCCAGGGACCAGAGTGACGGCAGAAGAGAGTCTGTGAAGGTGAGTGTTTTTGCTATTATGTCTATCTCTCTCTGCTCTCTCTCTCTCTGATCTTTTCTGGTATCTGGTCTCTGTTATCTGGTATCTGGTCTCTGGTATACTCTCTCTGGAATCTGGTCTCTATCTGGTCTCTCCCTCTGCTCTCTTTCTCTTGTCTCTCCCTGGTTTCTTTCTAGTCTCTTTCTCTGGTATCTGGTCTCTGGTATACTCTTTCTGGTATCTGGTCTCTCCCTCTGCTCTCTCTCTCTTCTCTCTCTTGCTAGTCTCTCCCTCTGCTCTCTTTCTAGTCTCTCCCTCTGCTCTCTTTCTCTCTGGTCTTTCTCTGGTATACTCTCTCTGGTATCTGATTTCTCTCTGGTCTCTCTGCTCTCACTTTCTTCTCTTTCTTGCTAGTCTCTCCCTCTCGTCTCTTTCTAGTCTCTCTTTCTCTGGTCTCTCTAGGGTCTCTCTCTCTCTCTTCTTTCTAGTCTCTTTCTCCTGTGAACAACAGTTAAAAACTCAAAAGTGAAGTTTGCATTATTCTCCTTTAAAAAAAAAAACACTACATTTTAAACATGAAGTAAGTGTAAACAATAAGAATGTCAATATTAATATTATTATTATTGTTATTATTATTACTATTATATTATCATTCTCCAAGGACCAGTCTCTGAAACCTGGTGAAATATCTGCCTTGGGACAGTTACCGACAAATACCGAACATTTAAAGGATTCTTTCTGTTTCTGTTGCTGGTCTCCATGGAGTTTCTCGCCCGGCGTCCCCAGTGTGTAGTTCCTCTGTTCACGAGACATTACATCACAATTACACTGTTTTCTCACTGCTTTTATTGTTTTTCTGCACTCAGCACTCGTCCCTCTCTGTGAGTCCCACTGAGCTGAGGGACAAAGGCCTTTTATGGTCCAGTGTCCAGTTCTGATCTACAGTCCTGCTCTGTGTGTGCTCATGCTCACATCATTATCACGTTTCGAGGACAAATTACCGCCAATTCTTTGATAAAGCGGAGCTGCCTGAATTTTGTTTTTAAACCATAATTTATACACGTTTACATGTGTTTGTACAATTATGCTTTCAGTTATTGCTGGGGTACCTGTGTTCTTGTAGAATAATTAATGCATTTTGATTGTTCCTGCAGAAAGAGTTTTGTAAAAGTATAATGTTGTGAACAAATTAGACCACATAAAACTGTCTATATTTGATTAGAAAACATGTTTTTTCCTTTATTTGCCCTACAGTGGTGAGATTTCAGTGTTGCATCACAAGTTACAGAACAGTAGGAATGAGGAGCACACAGAATAAGATAAATGAATAATAACTCTGTACTAAAATAAAATAAAATCTCTAACCATAAAAAGAAGCAGTATAAATCTCTTTCTTTAGCGTAATAAGTAAAGGATTCTAAAATCTTCAACCAAATTTCCCTTTTCTGTCTGAAAAACGTATCTAAAGATGTGACAAAGGCCAAAAACACAAGTATGTGAAAACTAATGAAAGGAGCTTCTGTGGGTGGATATAATTACATTTGTCATGTTTTTTATTTATTTAAAAGGGTTAATTAAGATTCCTTTTTTTCTAGTGTTGTTCAAACTAGATTTTTGATATTAAATGACCAGATTAGTTTTGAAACCTTGGAGATTATTTGAAGAGTTCATTTGCAAAAACAGATATCTCTTTTATGATTAAGGGCGACAGTAGCTCAGTTGGTAGAGCATTGGCCTTAAGGCCAGGAGGTCATGGGTTCAATTCCCACCTCTGCACCTTCTCCATCGATTCCCACTGATGACTGCTGTCGTTGTGTCCTTGGGCAAGACACTTAACCCCACTTTGCCCAAAGCCCCCACTGAAAGATCAAGGCTATGCTCACACACAGAGAGCAGCCGTCCTCCTGTGGACTCACCACCTGCAGAGGGTCAGTGAGGGGCTGGTGCTCTGAGACTTGGGTGGCATCTCTGATTGCCACCCCCCTGACCCAGAAATGGATTAAAGGGTAGAAAATGGATGGATGGATGGATGGATGGATGTTATTGTTAATATGATCAAAAAGTGGTGAAACTTTATTGTGCTAAAAGCGTTTCAAACTTCTTGGTAAAGAGCACATTTTTCACCCCAGGAAAGACAGGAACATGCCAAAATAAAAGTTTCAGAACAAATATCCAACTTTACAAAGTCTTCTGAAGTCACCGCCCAGTGCTTTCAGGACTATGGCATGTTGATCATCCACCTGCATCATTAAACACCGTTATTATAATAGATCCATGTTATACATACACTTTGCAACCTATTTTCAGAAGGACAACTTTATAAAGGAAAGAGCAGTTCTTGTTGTGAAAAATTGGCACTAAAACAATTTTGTTGCTTTCTAAATTAAAGCTATATTTAAGCAGCAAAAAGGCAACTATAGGTCACAAGGCGGGTTAAATACCGGGCCGTTTTGACATGTCAGCCCGAGTTGCTCAGTGGTGTTTGTAATCTAAAGAGGCACGCAACAAGAAAACATCTGTTAAGGTTTGTCTTTTTTTTTTGCACTTTGAAGAATTCCAACCACTTAAACATTGCAAATCACACAATATTTATCACAATATTTCAAGGTTGTATCAGTGTGTGTGTGTGCTCTGTGTGTTGTGTTTGCCTTCCATAAAACACAGGGGCCCCTTTGCTGTGACAGTGGGGGCCAGTGTAACTCCCCCCTCTCCCTCCTCCGCCTCCCCTCACTGTCGGACTGTGGGAGTTTGTCTCTGATTGTACACAGAGCTGGAGAAGAGGCTCGACTTGAACGTACTCCAGCCCGAGAGCCAGTGGTTTATAGCAGTGTTGTCTGTTTTTCCAGTTTTCAAAGTCTCTTTGTGAAGACGCTGGTCTGGACTTGAGTCACAGAGAGATGGACGTTCAGAGACCGGACCAGGGCAGCTTATCTCCGCAGGTATGATTCCAAATGATGCAGAGTTAGAATTGAATAGAAATTGCCTTCATGCTGGGTCACTCGCTAGACTCTAAATATTGCTGTTCTTTGAGGCAAGCAAAATAATATCAAAGAGAAGCTATACATTATAGCTGCAGTAGCTTCAGTTCAATTCAATTAAATGTATGTTTGTATCGCCCTAAATCCCATCAGCAGTCGCCTCGGAGGACTATTCAAAGTTGTTGATTCTTTAACAACTGATCAAAAAATTAAACGCAGAAATGCAATAATAAGAAACACATGGAGCCAATGGTCCAAAGGGAGCGGGATGACCACCTGTCCTTAAATATTAACACATTTAAGAGTTTTTGTATTCATGCTAAAGACAGAGGTTTTATACTGCTTATTTTTATGCTAGGGTTAGAGATTTTAATTTAATTTTATTTAGTATAGAGTCATTGTTAATTATCTTGTGTGTTACTCATTCTTACTGTTCTGTACCTGGTAATATAACACATATAGCACAAAGAAAGCATCTCTTCATCTTAAATGTCCCTGATCATCACTGTCCTTAGACCCTTATGCATCCGCAAGGAACACAGTGGGGAAAAAAGTGAGAAACCTTGGGGAGGCCCACATTGAGAGAAGAGTCCGCCCACGATGGACAGGCTAAAGATCCAGGACTCAGGATGTGGAACGAGAACTTTTACCTTTTACTTTTTGTTTCATATTGTCCCAACAGAAAGAGTCTTGTCAAAGTAAAATGTTGTGAACAAGTCAAACCACAACATGCATTCTATGTCTCAATAGAAAACATTTTATCTTTTGCATATTTGTAAGAAAGAGTCTGTGAGTCTCTACAACAGTGGAATGGGCTATACTACCACATGGCTGTATGTTGTCTTATGCCCTTTTCGATGCTAGCCTCAGCACTGTGCAGAGCTGTGCCATGTGGCGTTGCATGGTTTGGCAAGGGCCGTCCATCACCGCTTGCAGCTGTATGTGTGATTTTTTTGTTTTTTTATGTGTTGTTTCCAGAGTGGAGAGGAGCGCCCCCTGCCGTCAGCGGAGCAGAATCAAACTGTCAGGTGAGGCTGGACATTAACATTTTAAGTGATTTTGTATAGAGCACTGTTAATGAGGAGAATTTGCCCAGAAATGTATTTTTTGTCTATAGTCTCATTGAAGTTGGGGAGTTTTAGTTAAAAAAGTGTAGTATTTATGATTTACGTTTATTGTAATTTTACTCAGCTATGACAGAATACTTGTGACATAACGCAACACAATACAAAATACAAACATATTGGTAAATTAACATTCTCTATTTTTCTCTTACAGCAAAGTTACTCTCACCTTAAAGATGAAGGAGTCCGTGGAAAGTCCTGCAGACCCGACCATCTCTGAGTCGGACTGTGACAGCCTCAGCCCTGTGTCCTTAGCTACAACTGAGAACTCTCAAGCTAATGAAGCTCACGAACGGCTCACACTACAAAAAGCATCTTCAAATCAAGATCTGATGCCATCAAACCAGGACTTAACCCAGGACATAAGCCAAGATCTGAACAAAGATTTACAAAACCAGGACTTATATTTGGATTTGAACCAAGATTGTGTCATGGTAAAATCTTTGGACAAGCAGAGTGTGAACCAGTCTACAAACCAAATGGACCAGAGTTTGAAAGAAGAATCAAAGGCAGACTCAAACCAACATCTTCGCAAGGACACTATAGAAGATCCTGAGCACGACTTGGACCAGGACTCAAACCAGGACTCAGACCAGGACTCGAGCGGTTATACTGAACTGGTGCCTCAGAGCTACGTAGAGCGACTGCGCATTGAGGACCAGGGCTCAGAGACGCTAAAGGCTAAAGAGGCTAGCTTCGAAGCACTTGAATCCACTTCCTGCTTCAGCCCCACGTACGAGACCACTTCCTGTTTCAGTCCGCTCTCGTATCGGTCCGCCCTGATGTCCTCTGAGAACCGCCCCCTCGAGGTCAACGTCCTGCGGAGGGTCAAACACGTCTTGTCTCAGGTCCACCCCAAGATGGCCGCCTTGCACATGACCAGGGCTGATTGTGTGGTGAGTATTTTTGAGCTGTGGCACACCTTTCTCTTTTCAAACAATCACACGGCACACCACCAGCTGAAAGTGATGCAAGTCATTCTCAAATCAAGGGCAAAAAAGTATTTCTAATCTTCTCCTTCTCTTACTTTTGACTATATTTGATCAATTAGGCAAGATTGGACCATTTCCAAAGGTAAATCAAACATCCTCTCAAGGCACTCTAACTTTCGGTATGTGGTCAGTGGCTGCCCACGGTACTGCAGCCTAAATTCTCACGGGCCACACGAGAAATCACAAGGAACCTACAGCTTTCCCACAGGTTGAATATTGTGGGGATTTTTTGAAATCTGTTACTTTTGCTGTTTTGAAATCAATCGGTTTTCTCTAAATCGTCCTCGCCCACGGTTATTAGCATGTGCTTTTTGGTCATCGTCTAATCAATTTCAGTAGGCTGTGCACCACTGTGGCTTGGTGCTGTCCTCCACAGTCACAGCTAATTGGTTAGAACTGTCATGTTTTACTCGATACGTTCATGTACACATGATAACATTAAGATTAATAGAAATTTCATTGTTACATCAGGGGTTACAGACAGTAGGAATGAGGAGCACACAGCAAAGGATTAATTAATAATAAATCTACGAAAAAGATTTCAAAAAAATTATAAAAAAAACTAACTTTACTCTAAGAGAAGCAGTATAAAATCTCTATCTTTAGCATAATAAGGAAAGAAGTCTAAAATCTCCAACTTTAGCTAAAAAAAACCCTGACTTAGTGTGTAAGTGTGTTTATTTTTACATTTCCTGGTGTTCTAATTGTTTGATGGTGGATTGACATTGTATTTTCCTGGATTCTCACTCCTCTTCTGTCCCTGCAGGTGGGCCGTATCGTGCAGGTGAGCCCGCAGCAGCAAAGGACCATGGGAGTGAGTTCTGGTGTGGAGCTGCTCACTCTGCCTCATGGACAGCAGCTCAGACTGGACCTGCTCGAGAGGTAGTCCAGCACAAGACCCAGGATCACTCCCAAATATATCAAATCAATCAGTATATTTCTGTACAATCTTAAATAGACCCTCTTTCATCTGAAAAAAAAAAAAAAAACTGTTGTGAGGATCTCAGTGAAGGAGAGACCACCCCCATGTGTCCAGGACTAAAGCATGATTTTCCTGCTTGCACTTTCTACTTGAACATCCTACCTCCCTGGTCCTGGTCCTGGTCCTGGTCCTGGTCCTGGTCCTGGTCCTGGTCCTGGTCTTGGTCCGTTGCTCCTAACAGCTCTAACATCTTTCCCCAGGTTTGAGACAATGGCTCTGGCTCTGGCCGTGCAGATCTTGGGCTGCACTGGGACCCTGGAGGAGCGGGCCGCGCTGGTGAACCGGCTGATCCAGACGGCATCCGAGCTCCGCAGCGCCGTGGGGAACCTGTTTGGGTTTGGAGCCGTGATGAGGGCGCTGCAGCTGCCACAGGTCAGAGAGAGGAGTCTACAGCCTGTACAGAACACAAACTTTACAAACTCTTATCAGTGAATTTGCCAGAAGTGTCCATGTTGTGACTTTGGTATTGAGTCATGATGTGGGCCTCCCCAAGGATTTCAATTTTTTTCCACTTTCTGGTGTGTTTGGGACCGGAGCAAAACTACCCTCCAACCTACAGCGCTTTTAGGACACTCAAGGAGGCCTCACATTTGGGAAGAATCATTTGAAAAGTTCCTAGATCAGTGGAGAGCACTTAAGCCTTACAGCAAGAACCTATAAATGTCTTTGTATATTTTGTTTATGCACATCACATTTCTGTTGTACAACTGTTAGAATATCAGTTTGTGCCTGTCTGGTTTTTTTTTTGTAACTGTGTAGTTTTGGGAGTAGGATCTTCACATGTGCACGATTATCTCTGTGGCAGGTGTCTCGACTGGACCAGACCTGGGCGATGTTACGCCAGCGACACACAGAGAGCGCTGTTCTCTTTGAAAAAACCCTCAGGCCCTTCATGAAGAACCTGAACGAAGGAAGAGGTGAGAATAAACAAGGACTAGACCAGAAATGGACCAGGACTGAACCAATCCTGATCAACTACTGAACCATTAATGGGCCAGAAGTGAACCAGGACTAAACCAAGACTGAATCAGAACTAAACCAGGACGATATCAGCACTGAACCACTAGGAGTCAGGACTAAACCAGGACTGAACTTGGACTAAACCAGGACTGAACTTGGACAATGCCAGGACCGTCCCAGGATAAAACCAGGATTGATCCAGGACTGAACTTGGACTGAACCAGGACTGAACCAGGACTAAACCAGTACTAAACCAGGACTAAACCCAGACTAAACCTGGATTTAATCCTTGTGTGGTTCTTCCTGTCCTCCAGAGACCCATCCGCTCTCCAGCACCTCGTTCCCCCATGTGTTGCCACTGCTCTGCCTGATGGAGAGAGGAGCTCCGGGGCCCGTGATGACGACAGAGGAGGCTCCTGGAGACTTACCCCAGCTCTGGGATTATGATTTGGGGGTGGATGCCCTCATGTTCCACCTGTCTGCGGCCAGAACCATGGCTCAGCTCAGCAACGTCTACAAGAGCAACGCCAGCAGCCAACTTCACGGTCTGAACCAGGACTAAAGCAGGACTGAACCAGTACTGATACAGGATTGAAGCTACACTAGGACTAAACCAGGACTAAACCAGGACTAAACCAGGACTGAACCAGGACTGAACCAGGACTGATACAGGACTGAAGCTACTCTAGGACTGAACCAGGACTAAACCAGGACTGAACCAGGACTGATACAGGATTGAAGCTACACTAGGACTGAACCAGGACTAAATCAGGACTGAACCAGGACTGATACAGGACTGAAGCTACACTAGGACTGAACCAGGACTGATACAGGATTGACGCTACACTAGGACTGAACCAGGACTAAATCAGGACTGAACCAGGACTGATACAGGATTGAAGCTACACTAGGACTAAACCAGGACTGAACTTGGACTGATACAGGACGTAAAGCAGAACTAAACAGGGACTGAACCAGGACTTGACATGGACTAAACCAGGTCAACAGACATCAACAAGAATAATGCATTTAAAAGCAAAAAGCAGATGGGCTCTTTAACTATTAGGAACTATTAGGAAGAGGCTTCTAACAACATCCACAACAATAAATGAAGAATATAAACTGTAATTTCTGTTTCAGGTCTGGAGGACGACCCGGAGCTGGGGGAGATCTTTAGCACAGAGTTCCAGCAGCGTTTGCTCTGGGGACACAGAGGAGCCACCGCACCACAAGCTCTGAGATATGACAAGTTCAACCAGGTCCTGACCGCACTGTCCAACAGACTTGAACCTCCACGAACCAGGACTAAAGTGGGTTTGACGCAGATCTGAACAAGGGCTGAAGTGTGTCTCAACCAGGTCTGAACCAGGTCTGAATAGGGACTGGACCACAATTTTAAAGCAGGTTTCAACTGGGACAGCAGGTCTGTACCAGGCCTGAACTCGGACCTAACCTGGACTAGATTAGGTCTGAACCAGGTCTGTGCCTGGACTAAATCAGGTCTGAGAGTTGAAGCAGGGTCTTTTGTACACAAGAAACACATCCCAGACCTATTGTACATGTTTTCAATTACATTTATTTTGGTATAATTCTAAATCACAACAGCAGTTATCTCGGAGGGCAGATGAACAATGTCCATAAATGTCAGAAGTTTGTGGTTGGGGAAAACCAGAGCAACCGGAGAAAACCTACACTGACACTTGGAAAATGTTCTATGTGCAAACTCCACATAGAAAGGCCCTGGAGGTGGAATCAAACCCAGGACCTTCTTGCTGTGAAGCACAAACGCTAACCACTGCACCACTGTGCACCACTGTGCACCACTGCGCACCACTGTGCACCACTGTGCACCACTGTGCCATTCTCTACTGTTTAACCTTTTTGTGCATCTCATAAAAACCCAATCAGAACAAGTACTGAACCCTTGTAGCAAAATGTATCTCTTGCAATTTTACAATAAAAGCAAAAATGTGTTTAGTGTGTTTTCTCTGATGCGTGTTCCTGCCCTGTCTATCTTCCTATCTCTTTTGTTATTTTAAGTTTGGCCTGTAGATAGAGGCATAGTCAGTTTGGGCCAGTAATCTGGCAAATAATTAGGCAAGTTTGAGGCAAGTGTATGTATCACATAGTTTGTGTAAGTTAATGTATCACAATCAGTTTAATTGGCTCGGTTAATTAAGTCACAGTACAGTCTAAAATATTATTTTTAATGCATTTATTTGTTTAAATCAATCAAATAAAGTACAATTACATTTCAAAATCGTAATTTTCTATAAAAAGTTAGTGTTATGATAAGATACTAAATGTTAAAATATTGTGATAAAACTCATTAGTTCTGTAAAAGCTAAAAATATATCAGTTAAATTCTAAACACATTTGGATTATAATTTTTGTAAAATTCGATACAAATTACAAAAACATTTAAGTTAAAATTACAGTAGAAATAATATTTTTGTTTTGTTTAATGTATTAATTCATTATTCCTAAAATGATTAGATATAACTTGTTTATTAAAAATGTATATTGTCCCCAAAGGTTTTCAAGCTGCTGCTGCAGATTCAGATTCATTTTTTTGCCATTTGCAGTAAAACCACATTGGAAAAACTGTGCAAGACTACCCCAGTGTGCACCAGACGACACACACCAGAGCTCTTGCCACGGCGCCATCTTTACGGCGCCATGCGACAAACAGTAGAATAAACAGCAGAGAGCAATAACATACAGTTTCACAGCCAATTGGATAGACACATTGTGCTTTGTATAAACCACGGATTTTTTTCTCGGGATGAGCATCTCCGACTGCCGGCCCAATGTGGCTGTCAGAGGGGGGCAGGGTCAGGGAGGGGGTGAGTTGGAAACACAATGAGGAGTGGAGGGAGGGAGGGAGCAAGATGGATAGGTAGAGGGAGGCGGTAGTGGATAATGCTGGATTAAATATGTAATTAGCAAACTTGAGCAACGCTATTATGCTCCAGGGTGCTGTGAGAAAAAGGAAAAAAAATCTAATTATGACCCTAAAAGCAAACTCGAATCGAATTGAGGTTTTGGTGAATCGTGACACCCCTAGTGGACATCAAAGATAAATGTCAGTGCCTCCCCCATAGATCTACTTATTGTCTATAATAGTGTCCCTTGGTCAGAAATAAGGTTAAAATAAAGATTAAGAGATCCTTTTTTCATCTCTTACTGGGAAAATGTCGGTGTTGCATCACCGGTTACAGAACAGTAGGAATGAGCAGCACACAACACAAGATAAATTAACAATATCTTTACACTAAATAAAATAAGATAATCAAATCTCTAACTTCTGCAGAATAAATAAGCAATTATAACATTTCTAGCTTTAGCATGATAAGGAAGTATGTATAAAATCTCTAATATGGCATGTTATACATTATTTTAAAGCTACTTTTCACCAAACATCCACAACCTTTATATTATCATACACGTTGAGCCCTGAAAGCAATAGGTCAGTTGGTAGAGCATTGGCCTTTGAGCCTGAAGGTTGTAGGTTCGAACCCACCACAAGACCTACTTCACGACTCCCACTGATGACTGCTGTCGTTGTGTCCTTGGGCAAGACACTTAACCCCACTTTGCCTGAAGCCCCCGCTGAAAGATCTCAGCTCCTGTGAACTCACCACCTGCAGGAGGATCAGTGAGGGGCTGGTGCTCTGTGTACTGGGTGCAGCTCTGACTGACACCTCCCGACCCAGAAATGGATTAAGGGGAAGAAAATGGATGGATATGAATTCTAAAAAGTCACAAATCCACAAACACTTGAATCCTGGTGTTTATGTTTTCATATCCGTGCTAAAAGTGCAGCAAATGTTTACTTTCTCTACTGAGCTCCACTGTTTACTGTCAGTATTAGCTTTAGGTCTTTTACAATAGTCTTCTTTTGCTGTATTTTAAGTTTTATTGAACAGTGTTAACACTTAGTAATGAGTAAAGTTGAAACCTTATAAATGACATACTTTAAAAAAACACAATATATTTTTATTTTTTTAAGAATACCATCATTTCGAATGGGAGCCGTCAAAACAGTTCTGATAATTTCACAACGATTGGAGTCCTTTAGCTCTGAGTTCATTCCTTTTTAGATTTGCTTCTTGCAAACAGTGCCCTCCACAGGACTTTGAGTGTCTTTGTGAAAACGTACAAACTTAGTGTCGCTATCGCCAACAGAAACGCCGCCACGTCCAGACTGTAGTACTGCACCTGTGACAGTTTGTAAGACTCGGTGATGAGATGCTTGGCTCCTCGGTGTCTCATGACAAACTCGATCCAGAACATGGCTCGCTCCATGGGCTTCATGGGCTGGTCCCGGTGCAGAGCTGACAGACGCTGCATGTTGTTTCTGTATTTGGGATCATACAGCACCTCCTTCAGCGCCTCCAGGAACACGTCTCTGTTCACTTTGGACACGTCTACCACTTTTGCCACTCCGCGAGCCTCCATCCTGAAGAAGTTATCCTGCTGGTCGAACATGAGAGGCAGTCCCACCAGAGGCACGCCGTGGTTTATGGCCTCCTGGATCCCGTTGGTTCCTCCATGCGCCACAAAGAGCTTGGTCTGCGGGTGTCCGAGGAGATCGTTTTGAGGTAGCCAGTCCACCATCAGAGTGTTGTTCCCGAGAGTAGACGGCTTGTCCCCCTTGTGTCTCCACACCACTTTCTGAGGCAGTTGAGCGAAAGCCGCGGCGATCTCCTCGGTGATGTCCTGCGGAAGTTGTGCAACCAGAGTTCCTAAGGTCATGATGATCACGCCGTGCTCTCCCGCGCTCTGGACGAAACCCTCCAGCTCCGGAGACAAGGGTTTGGACGGTTTGCACTGGAACCCGGACATGTAGACGACGTTGGGCATGGTGGGCCGCGGGGTCTCGAAGGTAAAGTCGTTACGCATGAGCCAGATGTCCGCCGACTGTATCAGCTCCATGTAGTGGACGTCAGGACCGAAGTATTTGTGCACGAACGGCTTGTAGTTGGGGTCGGTCACGTACCAGATCTGGAATCGTGTGAAGAAAAAGATCAACATGTTTTTAACCCTCTGCATGAAGTCCATTCGGTCGGTGAGCATGGTCATGGGGATGGGCACGTAGGACAGGGGGCTGGGTGCGATGGCTTGGTGGCCCTCTCCTTGGATGGTCCAGCGCACATTCAGCACCAGAGGAAGCTTGAGCCTGTGCGCTATCATGACCCCAGCCCCGATCGCAGGGTCTGTCAGAACCAGGTCGTACTGCGCGTCCTTCAGTTGCTTCATCAGCTTCTGGTTTTCAAACACTTCTTCCAGCATCAGCACAGTTTGCCGGTTCATCTCGTAAAACGCTTGGACAATTTCAATCTCCAGAGAAATGCGCGTCCAGACCGATGCGCCCTCTCTCTGCAGACGGACCAAGTTTGCGGCAAACTCTCCAAACTCTTTCTCGCTGAATCCGACGGTGCAGTTGATGTTGATGGTTCGGTAGAAGGGGGACTGGGCCTTGATGTACCAGGTGTCGAGGGGCCGCAGGACGGTCACCTCATGGCCACGAGAGTGAAGCTCCTCCACCAGCACCAGCATGTTGACCCAGTGCGAGCCGTCCAGCGGGTACACCAGGACTTTGCCCCCAGAGACAGGGCTGTAGAGCAGGCAGGAGCAGAGCAGAGGCAGGAGGAGCAGGAGCATTCTGAGCCTGAGGAGGACATGACATTGTTTACCATTACAACAAAGACCAATCCCAGTATAAGCACATAGACGACGCAAACTGACAAACTAGTTTATGGGTAAATTGTGTAAGTAATATTTATAGTGCATTTTTTACAGACCAAGGTCACCCAAAGCGCTTTACAATGTTCAACGATCATTTGTTTTGTTTTATCTAGTTAGATTTGATTAGATTCAACTTTATTGTCATTACAAAGTCAGAACAAGGAAACAAAATGCAATATTTACAACACAGATAAATATATATGCATACAGTAGATCTGAGACTGTACAAAGCTGCTATATACATTAATAATAGTTAAGTGTCTGACTGATCTTTTGGTAAAAACAATTCATCCAATCATTTTTTGTAGAGTGCTTTTCATACAAAAGCTAACATAGTTCTTCACAGTTTATCTATTTACATTTACATTTTGCACACATATACAGTAAGTTATTATTTTACAGGCAGAATGTGTTGCTTATTGTTTTACTTGAACCTGTATACCTGTAAACTGATACATGAGATTTTATTACAGCTGAAGAAAAAGCCTGAACAATAAAATCACAAAAGACCAAACCCAACCTTAAACCAACTTTATTTATCTGTTTATTTTTCCCCAATGTGTTGCACAGGTAATAAGTGAATTCTTAAAGTCCAGCCATTACTTAATTACCTGAATGAAAATTAGATGGAAATCATATGGAAATCAAAAACAACAATACTCTAAATACAAAATACATTAAGAACAGAACACATACAGCTGCTGTGTTAAAAGCCTTATAATAAAAGTGGATCTAAAGACGAGACTTAACCCTTTGCTTTCTTCAAGGAGTGAACATTTATGTTTTAAAAAATGTTTATAAATGTAGAAGCAGTATTAATATTTTTTCAACCCCTATTTTTTAAATTATAGGCGTCTATAAATGGTTGAGATGAAGTTTGATGGTAAAATGGCCTCAAAACTTTGTGATAGAGACGCCCCAATGAGGTAGATTTCAGTCCCAAGCTTCAAGTAGTTGATAACGAGTAAAAAATTGTTCTGGTCGATGGTCGAGAAAACCATTAAAGGGTACAACCGCACTGGGAACCTGTTTTCATGTGGGGGGCAGAGCGTTCTTATGTTAAACCTTTAGAATTTTCCAGTCTGGGGATAAATGCTCCACGCAGCCGAGTGCTCACATCTCATGAATGAAGTAGAGATTTGTAGTATTTTGCAAATCCTCTTAAAATATCAAAAAAGCGTTGGTGTTTCTACATACAGTGCTACAGTTCGGCTCGGCGGCATTTACCACCACAGTAAACAGACACGTGTGTAGGTCCTGCTCATGTGAGAGAAATGTTCAAGAAATTCCACATCTGGAAACGGTGAACTGGAACCGACTTCTGTACAACCATACAGGCACTGAGCAGAACTATTAACACTGTAGGCATGAGAAGGCTGTACTAAACAATCTTTATGGACATTTAAATGGGAAAGAACCCGGATTTACATTCTATAAAACCAACATTTAATCTATGATATACTTACAGTGTGATGTTCCAAAGTATTGAAGAGGGGAAGAGCAGGACTATACCAGGACTTAATCTAGACTAAGCCAGGACTGAAGCAGGATTTAACCAGGTCTACACCAGGACTAAGCCAGCGTGTGGAGTGACATTTAGAGGGAGTGTGTTGCTCTGGGACCTGTGTGTGTCCCAGTGCTGTTATACAACCCGCCCGCCCATCAGAGTGGAGCGGGGCCGATAACAAACAGAAGGAGGTGGACCCAGAACCGGGGTCAGGGCACTGTTAGCAGAGAGCAGCAGGTGGTTTGTCGTTCACGTGTGTGTGATCAATACTCTTAACATACTATCAACCAGATAAGACTTTATTGTCACACTATAGATGAGATTAGGTCAAGATTTGTCGTGCGATGGAACAGAAGGTGTGTATGTGTGTGAAAGAGGAAAAGCCTTCATCAATCCTCCAGCTCCGGATGCTCACAGAGAGTCCCGTCTGAGCGTGAGGTCGGCTCAAATGCAGAGAATAGAAAAGGACTAGATAGATTAAATAGATATGTGAAATAATGAGCAAAATGTTATGAGTAAAAGAAACACATTTATTTTAAAATCCAGATGTTTCAACCCATCCATATCCTTGTTCTTCCGCTTCATCCGTTGCCGGGTCGCGGGGGCAGCAGTCTAAGCAGAGACGCCCAAACTTCACTCTACACACACTTCCCACAGCTCATCCGGGGGAATCCTGAGGCGTCCCGAGAGACACAGTCCCTTTAACGTGTCCAGGGTCTTCTCCAAGGTCTCCCCCCGGCTCTACTCAAAGCTCCTCTCGTCTGACGGAGCTCCTCACTCGATCTCCAAGGGAAATAATATAGATTGGACTATTTACATCCGTTTGTTCTTGTGAAATAAAATTTAATTCTTACAATGTACAATAATGAATCCAAGGAAGTACATTATACAAAACTGGAACAATGTTGAAAAATATGAAATGTTATGAATTTACAGTAAACAAGTTTGTTGTAGTTTTTTATTTTGAATTATGAATCATTCATTGTACAATACAATAAAAAGGAAAAACTTGTATTTACAATATATACATATATATATATATATACATACAAGCCACATTATATACACATACAATTGAGTATACAAAAGGAGTAGGTAGAAGTAAAACTCTACAGAATTTCATTTGATTCAACTAAATTCAGTCAGAATTTACATCTGTTTCAACATCAGTAAAAGTCTTGATTATAACTGACACATTAAACACCAGAGATGTTCAATCTTTGTTATTACCAATTATTCTTAAATGTTTTATTATTTTAATGCTATTTATTTAAGCCCTATGTTGTGCAATGCATTAAAACGGTGGGTAGACTGAGCCAGCTGAGAAAGACAAGTTAGTAATAAAAGTATTTTCTTGGGTGGATCGTGGTGCTGTTCACTCGTCCACACTAATGACACTTCCTCAGGACTTCCTCTGCACATTCACTGGCACAGGCCCATGGAGCGCACACACACACACACACACACGTTGGGTTGGTGTGAGTGGCCTTTGGACCCAGAGCGCAGATTATGTGAAAGCCATTGTCACGTGAAGTTTCATAAGTGTGGGTGAGATAACATTGTACTTTCACCAGCTTTGATTTTCAATGCATTTATTTTATATCGTCTATAAAATCGACTTTACAACAAACTGACATAACATCACATTTCCTCTATTTCAAGGTCATCCTCAAACTTTTAAAAATGTAAACGTGGTCGATGATCGGGATTCTTCACCTTTGGATGATTTTGCTGTTTACAGAGTCCATTGATTCTTTCTTGTTGGTTTAGTACATTCACAAGTTCACCCACAAGTTCACCCACAAGTTCACCCACAAGTTCACCCACAAGTTCACTCACAAGTTCACTCACCAAACTGAGCCTTTGTTTTTTTATGTTATTTTTTTGATAGAAACTGTATAATTATGCAAGATAATAACAGAAAAGTGGAAAAAACAGAATAGATTGTCTTTGGTCCCCAGAAACAAAGTGTTTTCTGTCACCTCCAGTCTCCTTCCTTGCGACTTTTGAATCAAGTCAGAAATCTGAGTAATAATGGACTCAGACTTACATTATAACAGCCACATTAAAATCAGTAACATCAGCAGCTTTTTGCCATCTGAAAAACATTGCCAGGATCAAAAACAGTTTCTGAAGCAGAGATTATTATCCGCTTTGTAGGTTAGACTAACGGCTGCTCACCGGGATCAACAAACGAGAAGTACCATCACATTAGTCCAGTCCTCAGGTCCCTGCACTGGCTCCTGTGGCTCAGAGAATAGACTTTAAATCAGCTCTGCTTCTTACAATGAATATGAACCAACTCTGACTCTGAGGAGCACAGGGACTGGCCTCCTGCTGATAATTAGAACAGTCTTCCTGAAAAAGTTAAAATCCAGCAAAAACAGTTCTGTTTTTTGTCTTGTGTGTTTTTAATATTTCTATCTTGTTTTGTTAAGCACTTGGGTTGTCTTGTATGAAGAGTGCTATACAAATAAACTAACCTTGCCATGCCAGTTACAAGTCCTGATGCTAATTTCATAACAACTCTGCACACATGCATTCCCCTGCAAATTCTGAACTAGTTTTGGGGCCAGTTTGAAAAAAAAGAAGGATTTTGATACAGTGAGATTTACAAAACCAAGACTGAACGACCCGATTGGTCGCATGAACATTGATCCTGGACTCTTTCATGTCAATTCTACTGATTCAAAAAGTTCAAAGTAACTGTTGCAAAAAGTAAAATAATGATGTTCATGTTATTTTTATTGTAACAGCTGTATTCAGAGAAAAACAAATCTGTTGGATTGATGATGTTAAATTGATAGAAACACATCAGTCCTTTCTGAAAGGTCCTCGTCAAACCTGCTGCAGTACCACAGTTTGGCCACAACTGGCGTCAGTTACTTCCTAGTTTCTCCTCTGCTCCGTTCTCATTGGCTGCTGCTGTCCAGGCTCTGCCCTCCTGTGCTCCGATGGGTTTGAAGCCGCTGTACTGTCCGTCCTGGCTGGGGTAGCGTTTGCGTATCCTGAGAATGCAGCAGCGTGGGACGACAGGGGGGGCCTGAGGCGTTGCGGGGCCCACTCTCCAGCGGAGGAACTGGGAGACAGCACAGTGCCGCAGCTCCCTGGTGCTCCTGCAGGTGGCGCCCATGGGGTCACTGTATTGCAGACAGAACTCCAGCAGCGCACGGTCCAACACCAGACGCTCGAACAGAGGGGAGGACGAGAGGCAGGGACCAGGCCCCACACGACAGCACAGCGCCTCCACCAGCATTGGTGTGGAACTACAGCCACTGCACTTACACCAGGGCGGAGGAGAGGGGGAGGGGCCACTGCCACTGAGAGGATGAATCTGAGGGTCTGACTGAAGCAGCGACACGACTGCTGTGAAATGTCCAGGATCCTCCTGCAAACAAAAGAGAGACCGTGGTTCTGTCTCAAAACACGACATGTAAAGACCATTTCAGCCAAAACCAGGATGAGGACCGTCTGAGTCACAGAAGGAGTCACAGAAGGAGTCACAGAAGGAGTCACAGAAGGAGTCACAGAAGGAGTCACAGAAGGAGTCACAGAAGGAGTCACAGAAGGAGTTAGAAGGAGTCACAGAAGGAGTTAGAAGGAGCTGGTTTGCTTTCCTGTGGACTCACCACCTGCAGAGGATCAGTGAGGGGCTGGTGCTAAGTGAATTGGGTGCAGCTCTGACTGCCACCCCCCCCGACCCAGAAATGGATTAAGGGGAAGAAGATGGATGGATGGATGGATGGTTTGCTTTCCTTCATACATTCTTTAGCACAGGAAGCTCAGGTCTCCAATCAGCAGGAAGAACCTACAAAGGCATCCCACAATCCACTGCACCTTCTCTAAGGCTGAAAAGTTTTCTGTACTGAGGATTTTATGGTGTTTTTTCCCTTTTGAAACAGAAATCTATAAAGTTTATCAAAGATTTCTGTAATCAGAGCTCCTGTGTTAACACTAGTAGAAAGTAAAGTTAGACTCTTTGGTCTGAGGGCGAATTTAGAAAGAACTGGAGAGGCCCAAAAACATGTTTTAGGGATTTTTTTTCTTGAACAGTTTAGATCTTTTTTTTCTGGTATATTTCAACCAAAAAAAAATCTTGATACAGCAAGGATTGTATTAAACCAAAACTGGACCATGTTCCCTTTTTCTAAACCATATATTCACATTTTGGGTTCAATGTTTAGAATAAATAATGTGTACTTGCACATTGATAATAATGATTATTGCAGATCTGTTGGCTCAAAATGACCTGTATGTAAATAAGTATAATCATACTCATATATATATATATATATATATATACATATAATCCCCCTCGTGGGATTATATGACACTATCAACAAAAAGGAAGATATAGCCACACCTGTGGACAAAGATATTACTGTCTCTCTGGATATAAAGTCCTTTGTCTCAGTGTCCAGGCCTTTTCAACAAAGTTTGCCACTGCAAAAAATTCATTATCAAATATCCAACACAGTCTATCACCATCAGAAAGCCAAAACAAATCAGGATTTTTACATTGAATCTTTGTGAACAATACCATTCTATTAAGTAAGTAATCTTTACTTACTGTATATACCACCTTTTCACAGACCAGAGTCACAAAGCGGTTTACAATTGTGGGCATTTGTCTCTGACTCCACACAGAGATGGGAGAGATGGGAGCGGGACCTGGAGCTGTGTACTGAGCTCCAGCTGCCTCCTTCTGTTCTTCCCATGACAGTAAATCATAGTTTCCCTGTGATTAAACAGTGTGAAAGCCGTTACCGTCCTGCTCTGGAACGACAGAGGTTTGGTGTTCTGCAGACTTTTCTTCTGCGGCCGCTTCACCAAACGTAACCGCTCCTCGTCCACAAAGGACACACACAGCATCCCCTAGAGGAAAACAGATACACAACGTGGGTCCCTCACCGATATATTATTGTGAAGAGCTTTTCTAGTGAAGGAGAATATTTATAAGAGCTGCATCAATGTGGAGTCCCATTTCTACTGCTACATCTTTTATCCATAATAATACATTTGCAAGAATAAATCCACTAATTGAGACTTGTTGACACAATCTGCTATCTGACCTACAGACCCTAATGTCCTCTTCACACCAGTTCATCCAGCGGGAAAGACTATGGAGAATTTGGAGATGTGTGGTTGGGCGACGAGAGGTCATTTTGACTTGTTTGTCCAAATGTAGATAAGAGTCCTGATCAATAAATAAATCACTTTTAAAATGGCAGATCAATGTGCGTTTTGTGGAATAATCTGAAGGACAAAATTAGAGCAAGTACAAGTTTTGAATTACAAAATAGGTATAAAACGTGAGGAATTAAATCAAAGTTAGGAATTTTATACCTCTTTGTTATGCTAAAGTCTGAAATGTTGTACTTAATTATTTCTTCTGTTTTATGCTAAAGTTGGCGGAGAGTTTAGTTCTTGTCTTGTGCTGTCTGCTCCTCTTTCCTACTGTTTTTGTTACCGGTGATGCAACACTGACATTTCCCCACTGTGGGACGAATAAATCTAATCTCTTTATCTAAAAAAGGGATAAATATCTGTTCTTCTTACTGAATTCTTACAAACGTGAACAACACATGCTGCATCCGAGTAGAGCTTCAATAACATGTGTAAAATAAATGAATGTTAAAATGTGTTTATAGTGTATCGTGTTTCTTACCCGGGGCGTGTCCTGAAGCGCCTCCACCTTTCGCTCTGAATACTTTTGTCCCGCCTCTGAGGAGTAACAGCTGCTTTCAATGAGCCAGTCCAGCAACACTGTGGTCTGAGTGAATGCACGAAAAGAAACACAGAGAAAACAGCCCGTTCAGGGTATTAACGTCGACGGAGCTTAAAAACAACTCCAGGGTTTCACAATCTAAAACGTAAACGGAGTGATGTCTGACCAGAGCGTAGTAGGACAGAGTGGAGCCGATGTAGAGGATGAGCTGGATGAAGCTGAAGCGTCCGGCCTGGAAACAAACACACATTATGACGTATGACAATGAATTTGTTATTGGCTCCCCACACACACACACAACACACACACACACACGCACACACACCTGCCCGAACACCATGACTTCAAAGCGGATTCCAAAGGCCTTGTACAGGGTCCGCTCCTCCTCTCCATTCACCACATGGTACCGCGCAAACCTGCAAAGACCAGGTTTAGTTCAGGGTCCAGTCCTGTAGAGCCACACTGTAAATCCCAATTCAAACCTTAGGACATAATACTACGCAACAATAGTGCTCACAGCTACAAAGCTTTATCTTGACTTTGATCCAAAGTCCATATTATAATTTAGGCTTGAAATTATAATATTCTTCCACAGGTGATCTTGGGCTTTGTAGAGGTCGTCTTTTAGGGGCGTTCACTTCACCCATGTATCAAAAAACTGACAAAAGGGAAAAGCTGACCCAAGATCAGTTGTTTAGCAGCTTTACATCCACAAAAAAATACCCAAAGTGAACCAGAATTGTTCCAGCTTAAGTGAACTAGACCAAGCGTGAATGCAGATAAAACAGCTTAGGCCTCAGCTTCAATTCTGGCTCAGATCTGGCTCAGACCTGGCTTTAATCTGGCCTAGACCTCGCCCAGACCTGGCTCAGACCTGGCTCGGACCTGTAGTTGAGTCCTGGGTACAGAGTCTTGTTGGATTCTCTCTCGTCCAGTCTCCTGAAGCTGTAGACCGGGAGGCAGTGCTGTGTGAGCCGGTCCAGGTCACAGTCCCATTTGATCTGTATGCCAATGACGCCCCCCTGTGGACACAACAGGAGCTGCAATTGACCGCACATACAAAGGGCCTCAGGTCAAATACAATATCGGGATACATCCTCAAACAGCTTCACTAGAGCGTTATCAGGTTCAATTCATTCGTCTTTGTGATTGATTTTAGCAGTTCTCCATCTCTTTTAAAGTTTCTACCTTTTGACAATGTCATATCAAATGGGAAAAACGTTCATTTTCAATCTAAAATGTAAGTGAACACTTAACAAGGTTCATTGATGAATCAGTGACATTTTGTATCCATTAAAAAACTAAGGATAAGTTGTGTCCGTTAAAACAAAAAATTTCTGCAGCTGCTGTTCCTGATGCTCCAGATGTTTCCTGTGGCAGAACAAGGAACTAGTGAAATCATTTCCTAAAATAAATGTTTCAACAGCTGACAGTTTGATTTACAAGAGAAAGCAAAGATCCTCAAACTTTGCAACTATAGGGTTTGGATTTTGTAATATACATTTTAAAGCTGGAGTACCTAACTTTGAAATCATGTACGGGTAAAAAAAAAAAAAAAAAACAATAAGTTACTATTTCCAGCTCTCTAAAGCTTTTGTTCTATCGCTAATTTTAATGTATTTTTGGCCTCTTTCTCAGTGTCAAAGTGCAACCCTCGCTCAGTATGTGTAAGTTAACATTTTTTCTAATAATAAAAAGACCAAATGTTGTGGTCTGATTTGTTCTAAAAAATAACTGATTGTGTTATATAATGTAAAGTGCTTTTTCAGAAGTGCTTTTTCAGAAGCTGTGGTCCTAGAAACAGTAGCAGTTTTACAATGAAGTAAAAGTACCTCTATGGCGAGCTCCTTGAAGTTCTCCCCCGCCGCCTTCACCATGTCCCCCAGCCTGAAGATGGGGCACAGAGGGTCATGTTTACGCTCACACGCTTTCAGATACGAGCCGTTCATCCACGGGAGAATATTCCTCCTGCAACAAAACCTGGTGTGAGGACAGTGCTGTTTATGCCACTGCAGCCAATGAGGTGAGGAAAAGGATGGAGAGCCCGCCTTTTGTTGAGGTGGATTGGAAATGATCATATTAGCAGATTAGTCCGAGAATTTACAGATGCAGTCAATGATTCTTCCAGACGGAAATTTTAGAATACTGTGGGGAAACGTCCCTAAACCCCAAAAGTAGTTTAGTTATCATTGGTTTTCAAATATGAATGGCCATGACCAGATGCCTGTAACCTCAAAAGATAAATTATGAATATTTTGGAGCAGACTGATAGAATGTGACCAATGGGAAACCAAGTACTACTCGGATGCTAATGCTAAGCTAACCTGAATCCTTTACTGCACCTTTAATGTTGTTCGTAGGTGCTGGTGCAGGGCTGACCTGATGTAATTGAAAGCCGGGAAGCGGATGTTGTTCTTGATGAGGACTGTGAAGTTCTCAGCTGCAGCCAGAAGAGCGGGTCTGAAACAGTCACAACAGAGTGGATTGTGACGGGGGTTCTCCTGGCTCGTTTACATTGCACTTCATACATATTCGATGTCATGTATTTTTGTAAGCCCTAAATCACAACAGCAGTTGTTGGTGGATGGACAACTTTTTAAATTCCTCCAACAGATCAGCAACAAACATTCAAACACAGGAAATGCAATAATAACAAACATATAGGAGTCATTGGTTCATGGGGAGAGGGATGAGCCATGTCCTTAATTGTCACTCTACTCCGGTCACGGGCCCAGGACTCCGGCCACGGGCCCAGGACTCCGGCCACGGGCCCAGGACTCCGGCCACGGGCCCAGGACTCCGGCCACGGGCCCAGGACTCCGGCCACGGGCCCAGGACTCCGGCCACGGGCCCAGGACTCCGGCCACGGGCCCAGGACTCCGGCCACGGGCCCAGGACTCCGGCCACGGGCCCAGGACTCCGGCCACGGGCCCAGGACTCCGGCCTGTTTATCCCACCACACTTTGTGTGAAGATATTTTTTCCCAAAATGTTATATACGATCTTTCAGTGTTCAAAGTTCTTGCTTTGTGATAAGCTGTCAGGCTCCAGACCTAAAAAGCTTTTAAATACCTTAATAGAATGGTCCTTTACCTGGGAGGACTGGTCCTGGACTCCACAGGGCACCAGGAGGATATCTCACAGGTTTTCTTCAGAACGTCAAACTTCACACATGCTCCTGTCTGGATCCCTAAAGAAAAAATACAAAAAGAAACAAAGCGTAATATCTGTATAAGGAAACTCTGCATTGTTCCTCAACCAAAAAAGACCCGAGTTGTTTTTAGATCCACCCATCCATCCATTTTCTTCCCCTTAATCCATTTCTGGGTCAGGGGGGTGGCAGTTAGAGCTGCACCCAGTACACAGAGCACCAGCCCCTCACTGATCCTCCTGAAGGTGGTGAGTCCACAGGAGCTGAGATCTTTCAGTTGGGGCTTTGGGCAAAGTAGGGTTGAGTGTCTTGCCCAAGGACACAACGACAGCAGTCATCAGTGGGAGTCGTGAAGTAGGTCTTACGATGGGCTCGAACCCACGACCTTCAGGCCCAAAGGCCAATGCTCTACCAACTGAGCTACTGTCGCCCTTTTTAGATCCATACATGCTAATATCAGGACCTTCCGGCACAAACCTGTAACTCTGCCCCTTCTGTCTAAAAGCTCCTGTCTCAGTCAGGTAATAGCACATCATCATTGTACCACTATGACATCACAAACAAAATTATTTCCGATTTAGTTTAGCCTATTTATGGGGTGAAATGACACACTTTACAATCACATGTTTTTGTAGCCGGTAACAAAAAACCAAACAAAAAAATGCAACCTCTCCCTCTGGTGGCAGCATAGGGAGTTGCAGACGGAAAGCCTTTTTTACCCTTGATACTTGTTTCCCCATTTATTGATATTATTTCACATCCGAGAACATGAAAATTATAAAGCAAGTCGTCTCAGAAAAAATGTCTAAGGGCCAAAAATGATTCAAAACAATTCTACCTTAAAAACAGCCCTCAACCCTGGTCCAAAGTACAACATTCTCCTGGTTTCTTACCCAAAGCACTGGAATCCCTCTGGTCTTCTCGTGGAGGTCAGAGGATCAGAACACACACTTATATCATGTTTAAACAAGGCTGGATATTTAACCATGATGCCTCAAAAAATAAATAAAAAATAAAGGGACCAGTACAGGGCATGAGTTTAGTTTGACAGAGTGGAAGCAAAGCATGGCACATAAGTGACACATTCATCGGCTCCTCTCCACTCGTCTTTATTCATCTTTATTGAAGGGACAGTGTGCACAGAGACATTAAAGGGCCTATATCATGGTTTTTGACTTTTCTCTGCTTTAAACATGATTACAATGCTATTTGGCCTTCATACACAAGCCCACAGTAGTTTATTCATTGATTCTGTCAATCTTTTGTAAGAGAGCAATCTGTCTCCTTCCCCAGCGTGAGGCACAGAAACGCTCGGGTCCACTTCAGTGACGAAAACCACACTGACCACCCGTTTGCTTTGTATTTAAAATAGTTGTTAAATACTTTTGTCAAAACGGGGTAAACAATACACGATTAGTATGCTGTTTTTTGTCAAAAATAATAAAAATAAAAATAAATTAAAAGCCGTCGGGAGGTGATTGACGGATCAAAACAGCGAATCAGAGCGCACAGGCTCCGGCTCCCGAGTCCAGCGTCTGTGGTCTGGTCTCGCGGACATCACATAGAGCTGCTGTTATTATGCTTTTGTCAGCGACTAAAAGTGTTAGGATCACGTCAACTTGAATGAAGTGTGTTATGGGTGTAAATATGTGACACACTATTTGGCCCTAAGAGGAAGAAAGCGGCTCGACTTTTTTCATCTGTTCATCTCATGGATCTATTATAATACCGGTTCATCTGCGACACTTCACTGAGACTATTCCAGAACTACAGGGACAATGGAACTGGACTTACTCAAAAGCTGATCTGGAAACACGTTATTCCCACGGTAAAAGACGAGGACATAGGGCTCGATGTGACGGATTGTCATTGTTGGAAAAAGTGTATTCTTATGTATGAAATTACTAAGTACAGGTGATAAACGACAAAAGCGTGATGCTACGTCACCGTGCGGGCGGGGGGAGGCGGGCTCTCAGGCAGAGGAGCAGACTCTTCTCTGGATCAGCTCGTTTGAGTTGAGGTGACGTCACCTCTGCACAAGAGATGGCTCTAATCTCACAAGCTTTGATTGTTGTGTGGTGTATCATACACATTAATATCACACATGTGTATAGGATTGAGTGTGAAACATGAAGAAAAGCGTGATATAGGACCTTTAAGCTCAGAGAGACAGACATTTTCTGTATCAGATTACAGCTAGTATCCATCTGCAGTCCCTGGTTACAGAAATATAAATAACAATATACAGTATAATTATAATACCACTAATAAGATGTGTTTAATGTCATTTTGATTTTTTTATTGTGAAATACTATGTGAGCTACTGTGACAATGCAATTCCCCCTGTGGATCAATAAAGTCTGTCTAAGTCTAATAAAAGCACTAAACAAGTTTGATGTGTTTTGGACACTCAGGCGGTTGGAGTCGACTGAGCGAAGGCGGCGGGTGGGTTGATGCTGCAGGAGCTCAGTGCAGGCCAAGTGATCAGGTTATGGAGGGACTTGTGGGTGAGGAGAAGGAGTTTGTATGGGACAGTATGATTATAACTGTGTCCATCCGTTCTCCATCAACCACACAACACTTTACCATTCACTACATTTAATCAATTCTGCATCAGTTACATTTCCTAACTATATTTACAACTATAATAAAACCCATCGGATAAAACACAATCTGGAGGGATCAGTGCTGCCAGGTTCGGCCACTCAGCCACTTTTTCAGGTCACAGGTCAAAGTATAGTCACTTGTTTGAGTTCAGTTGGGAGATTATACCATTCTTTGATTGCTTTATATGAGAATTCTGATGGTGCGAATGAAAAGGAGCAGGTGCAGAAATGTGTGTTTTTCAATAAACCAAAAGGACACTCGCCAGTCATATGTTATCAACACCAGATGATTCCCTGAGCTTTGACATGAAAACATGAAATGAAAATGTACCGTGGCTCTGAATCTCCCACAGTCCTTTCTCGCAGTCTCTGTCAGAACGGCACAGTCGACCCCTGAAGGGAACCTGCACACACACACATCACACATTTAAAGATGTGTCGTGCAAAATGGTTGAGCTTTTTACCATTTTACAATATTGTTCCTATCAAACACAGACCTTGAGTTGTTTTTAGATCCATCCACGCCAGGAGTCTCAAACCTGTGGCTCAGGAGCTATCAGCATAGCTCGCCACCCCCTTCCAAGTAGCTCTCCAAAACATTTAGATTTTACATAAATATTCTGAATATTGAAAAAACGTATGATTTACTTTTATGTAGTAAATCCAATAAACTGATTTTACCCAGACGCCAAGAGATGTCGCTCCGTCTCATTCTATGGATCTATTATGACACTTTTGAAACTTATTATGTTAACCCTTTAATGGTTTGCTTTGTCTGTAAGAGCATTAGATCATTATGAGCAGTGTGTTATGCTGTTTTTAAACAATGGAATCAATGTTCATATTTCACATTCACAATTGTATATAATAAAAACATTCTGCATACATTTTCTTCATCTAATCGTCCTTCACCCACCTCTGCACACTTTCCCTGCCGCTGGTTTCTGGTCACGATCACATTGGTTGTCACAAAGAACGAGTTTTTATCCTGGAACAAGATTTTTTTTTCTTAAACACATACATTCTTCATGAGTTCTGCTTGAAAAGATGAACAGGTGAATAGATGTGGAAGAGCAGACCTGTGAGGGGGGGCTGTAGTCCACCGTGTCCCAGGCCACGGCTCCGATCCCGGGTAGAGACACCTGAGACACGCCCTTCACTTTGGTGGTCACGGAGCTCACGACCAGATCCACCTCCTGGTACCTGCGGTTCCACAGCAGCATCACACTGACAAAGGGACGAGGGTGATGTTACTGCCATGAACACTTGTGGGCCCTTTAGTTTCTGTTCAATTCAAAACACTTTGTTTGCACAGCACATAATCTATAAACAAAAAGTTTTCAAAGTGCAGCACATAGATATATTAACAACATATAAACATACAAATAAAACATTTAAATAAAAATGTGTGTGTTTCTCTTATGTGTTGTCCGCATCTATGTTAATGAGAAATATATTTAAAATTGGATATTCTCTCTGGAGTATTTTTCCTTAAGATAAATAATGACAAAAAAAAAGAAAGAGTTAAGTTATGTTTGGATTGAACAAACATAACTTGGTTTCAAATTATAGAGTAGATCGGCCTATGTCTATTTCTCAAATTATTCGTTTTATCGTGTAGAATAAATATATTGGTATGGAAAACCAAGATGAAGAGGCTCGAGGCACTCTGATTTTAATCAGAATCAGAATCATTTTTATTGCCACGTAAGTAACAAAAGTTACCACTTGGAAATTGTTTTGGCACCTTAAAATACGTAAGGTGCATGTTCTCCATATTATTTTGCCACAGATCCTCAAACAGCACCAGAACTGTCTCTTTTGTGAAATATTTTTTTAATCCCTTATGCACTCTTTCCTCTTGTAATCTTGCAAATTCGCGAGCCGCATGTTGGACATCCCTGCTACATGCTCACATCGGCTCACATCTCCAGCCACTAGTGAAAAGACACATCTCGTACAGCCGTGTGGAGGCGTAAGAATGTCCGTGTGGGGAATGGAACTGATGCATGCGCCAAACTCTGCACCAAACTCTGCAGCTGTTTCAGTCATCACAAACGTGAATCCCATAGACTGTTTTTATCAAAACAGCATTTCCCCGCTACAGCTGTGGTAGAAGTGTTGCTTCTCCAAACCCAAAGTTGTTTTAGTTTTTAATTTGTTTTTTTTTTTTTTAATTGAAGTATAATAAAATGGCATGTCCCACCGGGAGGGACAGATATTTCAAACAAACTTAAAAATGCAATAATGTACCGCAGAAAGGATCACATAAAACCAGTGTGTGGTTGGGAGCGGGGAAGGCTGGGTGATGGAGAAAAAAAAAAACATTTCTACAATAAACACAGAACAACCAAAAGTTCTCACTGACCATATGACGAACAGGATGGCAGAGTTCAGGACCCACTTCAGAGAGCCGAGACGCACGCTCCTGATGCGGACCAGTTTGGTGGTTTCATACTGACACAAGCCGAGCAAACACGAGCATCCCATCCTGAGTCACCACCATAGACCACCATAGACCACCACGGCTGCAGTCCCACTCGGTCCCTGTCAGTCCAGTCAGTCCCACTTCGTCCTGCGGCAGCCTGCTCCAGTCCAGACGGGTCTCGGTTGCGCGCTGGTTCTACAGGGAGGCTTGAGGTTCTTCCTGGTCTCAGTGTCACATGGTTCCTCCGCAGCAGCTGTGAGCCTCTCCTCATCAGCTCCTGTCCGGTGTGTCCCAGGCCAACAACCGGGAGTGACAGGACAGAGGGAGAGAGAGGGAGGATGCGTCTGTGGTTCACGCCCTGCAGGGAGATTGGCGTATTCTGCAGCAAACGGGGATTTACTGTACCGAACGTCAAGTCTGGTCATGTTAATGTGCGCCTTCATCATTAAAACACGTCATCCACAGCAAGTTTTATGTGACTTAAACCTATAAAAGATGAGTAACTTAATGGTGAGGTTGATTTTTGCTTTGGATCATACACTGCAAAAAGTGATGAAAAATGGTAATGAAAATTGTTCAAATTTGGCTAAATGTATCCTTATTTGACTTAAAGCTATATAGGAGGATTTTCTACTTCCGGGTGGATCATCGAGACTATTGGTTCTCCTAATTGTCAATCCTTCTGGTGATACGGCTTGTCAAATAAGACCAGAGATTAGAGGCCAGAGGTTTTGTTCAAAAAGTGGGTGATTCTTTCCTAAAAACCTCCTATGTACATTTTACCTTTTGCTAATGGGAGGAGCAAAATGATCTTGTTTTAAAAAAGATACAATAAAAGTCTCGCTTAAAATGAGGGGTTTTTTAAACTTTTTTTTTTTCATTCAAATGACATACAATGACAACAACAAAAACCGCCAATACCATACAGTTTGAGAGAAGAAGTCCATTTAGACTTATTTCAAGAACCATTTAGTTCTTGAAATAAAACGAAACGGTTTTGTCCATTGGCAAATCTTGCTTCAAATCAGTCAGAATGTGCTCAAATTAAGATAAAAAAAAATTGATTCAAGCAGTTACTATCTCACATTTGGTCATTTTTGGCAAGCTGGGATATTTAACTTTTTCTTTTCTTCTTACAAAACATTTTCTTTATCACAACAGTCTTTAAAAAGTAGGAAGTGAACAAATGTTTTTTATTTTATTTAATGTTTTGAATATTTATCTTATTCAAAAATTATTGTTTGCATAGCTGTAAGAAAGATCCCTGTGAGTCGCTAATTGACGCTTTGGGCTGAGAGCTGATTGGCTGAGTGAGGGTGGTTCTTTATTATTTTTCTTTTATGCCTGAAAAAGCTGATTTAAAGATGTAACAGAGGCCAAAGATACACTCCTACTCTACTGCTACTAAATACAAGAAGTCTGGTTTGAAAGTTCAGTAACCCGGCTTTTAACAGAATGTGCCTTTCTCATGAATACAACTTTTTCAAAATAAGGACAAATGAAGTTCTCTCACTGCAGAAAACAGCCTTAAATAAGATGTGTTTGTCAGTGAATGTCAGCAGACTTGGACGGCGGATTGTTCCCAGACAAAGAGCCCTGTGTCGGGTCAGAGCGGAGGATCATGGGCCTCTGCGTCTCCACACTCGTCTCCATCGCTCGCCCACACACTGAATAATGAGACAGGACATAGCACTTTGCTTTTCCTCGTAGTTTCTCAGTTTAATTCACCAAAACAAACTGCATAATCCAAGGACATAACCACAGTTTTCATTACTGATTCAAGGTTTTCTAATCATCAAGTGTTGATACTGATGAATCCAAAAAGCGCTATAAAACCGATGCATTATTATTATTATTATTATTGATGTGATTGTAAATGTTTGAGTGATGTAAATGAGTAATGTTTTTTCCCCTTTTGTTTTTCGACGGAGGTTTAAATCCTGTGTCGACCCGAGATAACAGTGGGAAAGGTGGGCGTCTTGTTTGGACCTGTGTCGGCTTTTTAGACTGGAGCGTGTCATAATGGCCTGGCACCAAAGCATATTTGTGACATATCAATTCCGTACAAACCGACGCGGACTCTGAGGAGCACAGGGACTGGCCTCCTGCTGGGACTCTGAGGAGCACAGGGACTGGCCTCCTGCTGGGACTCTGAGGAGCACAGGGACTGGCCTCCTGCAGGTGCCCAGAGTCAGGACTAGAAATGGCGAGGCGGCGTTTTAGATACATGCTGCTGAAATCCGAAAAGTCTTCCTGGAGATGTGAGACAGGCTTCGTCTCTGACAATGTTCAAATCTTCACTCTTTATAATGATTATTTTAATCAGAATTAAAATTTTGCACATGATCAAAATCAGTCTTCTCACCTCACACTGTCACTGCACGACCAGCGGGAACATGCATCCATAAAAAAGGTGCGGTTAAAGGCAGCTCCTTCTGACACACCAGCCTGTGTCAGTGTGTGAGGAAAAAGGCAACAAATCCTGTGTTTTTGTAATTGAGGCTTCAGACTGTATTTCCAATTCATGTAGTAGAATAAAGACAGAAGGATATTTCTCAGTAAACTAAGAGCAGAAATATGGAGACAAGAACAAGGTCAGAGTACTGTAGAAGCAGACTCAATATCAATGCAATCTGCAGCACAACATACGTGTGCATAAATACAACATGTGCATAAATACAACTTTGAACAGTGTCATATTTGTGTTACTGTGGACAAAACAAGTGCAAAACATCCAATTTTCTTTGACAGAAAAGAGTCGTCAGAGGAAGTGTTTACAGATTCAGTTCAATTCCACTTTTATTTTTGTTTAGTCCTAAATCACAACAGCTGTCGTCTCGAAGTGGCATGCAAAGTTTTCGATTCTCCAACGGAAGATCAGAGAATCAAAAAGGCCCAGATGGAGCAGCGCCTCTGAACTATTTGTGTCCTTTCAAGTGAACACACTGCAGGCCGACTCGAGGAACCTAATGTACAAGTTTATGTGTCGCCTGAACACTAGTGCGAATGTGATGATGAGCCTACAGTGATGTTCGTTAAACCTCCGCACTCTAGAAACACGGTATAGTTGCCTCCTTTAAAGAGATTTGGGGACATTTATTGTTTTATGTTGTTTGTTTCTAGTGTCTTGTGTCTTGTCTATTTTTTGTTCTGAACTAGGAGTCTGTAATAAAACCATCCATCCAAACAGTTCGAACACAGGGAAAGCAATAACAACAAACACAGAGGAGCCATTGGTCCACTGGGAGCGGGGGGACCACTGTCTATAAATGTCCTTACATGTCTCGGATCATGAATTAATGACAAAGATTTAAAACTAAAAAAGGGGAAGGAAAGCAAGAGAAACCTCTGGGAGACCCATATTGAGACAGGAATCACCTCCGAGGGGACTGTAGAACCAAGACTTGCTGCTCTAGAGTTGTTCTCGAAGCCAGACATGTGAGTGCTTGGCGCCCTTTTTCCGCATGGCAAGAGCTCTGGTGTGTGCCCTCTGGGGTAGTCTTGCACAGTTTTTCCAATGTGGTTTTACTGCAAATACATTTTTTAATGAATCTTGCTAATGTTATATACTTTCATTGTCTGAAATCCATCTACTACCTCTATTTAAAAGTGATATAGTCTAAATGCAGCTTGTAACATGACCAAGCTTTTGTCCTCTGAGTTTTAAATCAAAACTCAGAGTTTTCTCTGTCTGTTGGGTTTATGGGAGCTCTTGAAGAAGAGGTTCTCAATCTCAATGGGATTTTTCCTGGTTAAATAAAGGTTAAATACAAAATAAATCAGTCAATACGGACAAAACAGATACAGTTTTCTCTTTGACAGTGGTCAGGTATTGCAGATCCCCAATAGTGCGTGTTTACAGAGTGTGTCCTCCAGGGGGCAGTATAGAATCACCACTTGTTCAATGGTTTATCAATGAGGTTATCACTGAGAAAAGGACAAAGCCACACTATAATAAAAAAATTCAGTCGTATTCCATCATGGTCATGTCCAGTGAAGTTCTGCCATTCATCTCAAGTCAAATGTGTTTTCATAACCCAAAAAAAGTTGTCTTAAAAGAGATGCACCGTGTCTTGGAGAGTGGATCTCAAAGAAATCCACTCTGAAAGTTCATAACCACTCATTTTCTTCCGCTTTATCTGGGCCTGGGAGCATTCAGCAAAGACACCAAGACATATATTTCTCAGCTGCTAGACAAACCATTCATGTTTCTGATTTCATTGACTTTTGTGGCATTTGCTCATGGTTATTCCAAGACAATAAAGACTAATTGAAATAATACACGTCGCTTGTCCCAACAGAGTCTTCATCGTATAAGGAAACATGTTATCTACAGGTATTGCGTACTTGTCAAAAAAGAGCCTTGTGAGTCCCTTTCTGACGCTTTGAGATCATTTCTCTCTGAAAGTGTTGATCTAAAGATGTGACAAACTACATTGAGAGTTATATAGAAAGGGTTTGGAATTTCTACTGATCTGGTTTGAAAAAAGCACAGCGTCTGCATGAACTAAAACTATCTACATGTATAGGTTTTTATATTGTTAATGAGGATAACATGCAAACAGACAGTAGGGGGAGGGAAAAGTAACTGCAGGTCCAGGGAGTCCAGGGTTTCAGGCTGGGGACTGGTCCTCAAGAAAAAGCAAAATAAACTTTGTTAACACTTGAGATTAGCCCTCACTAATTAACAGATAATTAAGTAATAATTAGTGTACCCCAGCAAGTCCGGGGGCGGCAGGGGGTTAGTTGGTAGAGCATTACCCTTTGGGCCTGAAGGTCATGGGTTCCATCCCCCCATAAAACCTACTCCAACTACTCCCACTAATTTCTGCTGTTGTGGTGTCCTTGGGCAAGACACTTAATCCCACGTTGCCTGAAGCCTCCGCTGAAACACCAAGGCTGTGTCACTGCTGACAGAGCAGCCATCTTCCTGTGGACTCACCACCTGCAGAGGATCAGAGGGACTGGTGCTATGAGCATTGGGTGACAGCTCTGATTGACACCCCCCAACCCAGGAATGGACAAATAAAGGGGATGAAAATGAATGAACCCTAACCCTAGAGTGTCAGTTAGTAGTTAGTTAGATCTTGAACAAGGACTGCTTATTCTACTTATCAACCCTTTAATGTTCACTCCTTGGAGAAAGCAAGTAAATGTTTTTGTTTTTGTTTTTTGTTTTAATTTTTATTGTTTTGTTGTCTTTTTAAATTATAGGCAAATGGTTGAGATGAAGCTTGATGCAAAAAGTGCCCAAAACCAAGTGATAGAGATGCCCCAATGAGGTAGACTTCAGTTCCGAGCTTCAAGTATATCTATAGTGACTCAAAAGGTGATCCACCAAATGGTTGTGAATAACATTAAAGGGATACTTAATAAATACCAATAAAGAGATAATTTACCATAGATTATACACACATTAGCACTTCATATGCTGCTAATAAGTGATGGCTAAACTAAAGTGTGACCTAAAGTTTTATAAGAAACCATGTAACAACACTTAGACTCAGAATCATCTGCTCTCCACAGTGTGCCGTGATGCTGCTCCCATCCGTCTGTCAATCTCCCGCCGCATCCTCCCCTCTCTCCGTGAACAAGACTCACTTTGTGCTGTGCTCTTTATCTCTCTCGGGTTTCTTCGGTGTGGTCCGACATTCAGCCGTCTGTGTGTCAGCTCTGTCGTCTCGGAGGTGATGGACACGTTTCAGGAGCAAACTGTGACCTCTGAACACAGAACACACTCAAACAGAAGACCTCACCGTGTTTATGTCTGAACCCGCTCTGCCCTCCACACTCAGGCCAAGAATGTCAACACTTTCTGAAGCCCCAGAGAAAAAGACATTTCCCAAGACTTCATTTATACACACAGAGATGACACTGAACTTTGAGCCAGTTTCTTTTTCACACAGAAAGGTAACAGATAGAAAGCAAAACGTTTCTTTACCACCACAAAATCAGAGGAAAGAGCTTAAAACTGCTGTTCCAAAAAAACGCTCTCCATCAGTCACTGGATCAGGCATGTAAAACTCAGGCCCGTGGGCTAAATCCGGCCGGCAAGATCATTTTTAGTGGTCCCTAAAATTTTCAATGATTATTATCACAGTAACTTGCAGCATTGATGGTAATTAGTCAATTATCTCAGAAAAACAACCATATAATATAAACATATAATAATTTTAATTGATATTTTATCTTCTCAGGAGTTAAGGTAGGTCTAAGATATATCTTTTATAGGTAATTACCTTAAATAACATCAAAATAATATCCAAACTCATGTCAAATAAAATGTATGAAAAGAAAAAATGATAATGGAAATATCAAGGCTCAGGGGTTGGTGCTCTATGAACCCAGAAATGGATTAAGGGGAAGAATATTGATGTATTTGCATATATTTTATGCTGCTTGCTTTTATTTGTTTAATCTTTTGTGTCTGTGAAGCACTTTGGGGCAGCTGGTCTTGTTGTACATGAACTGAGCGATACAAATAAATGATTGATTGATTTGTGAGCTAACAAACAGACTCCCAATCACAAAAGTGGAATGGTTTTAGTAATCTTTGATCTGAGAAGGAGCACACACACAGGAACTAACTGTAAATATGACATTTATTAGTATTCTGGAGAGTTGTGCGTTTTATATTCGTCTCTGAGGAGCGGCGTCGTTGCCTCTCGACCAGGACACCCTTGATCCTTAAACGGCCCTGGGAATTTCCTGGTTAAATAAAAGTCAAATAAGAAAAGAGTAATTGGGAGCGTGTGTTTGGAGCTGGACCATCGCCACAGTCACAGACCCTGCAGATCAGGACCATGTGTGGACCAAGACACGCTGGTCTGAAACTCAGGCTAAACCAGGTCTAAAAGACAGAGCACAAGATAAACTGCTTTTCCACACCGGTTTTACCTCAACTTCTATGCACATTATTTTAGTCTTTAGTCTTCATTTTTAGCATTTTTTTTATCATGGTAATGCAACAAAATACCACAGCAGTCCAGAAAGTTTAAGAGTAATACATTCCATTAAAAAAAGCAATAGGAGTAGGATTAAGAAAAACAATATACAGTATAAACTCCTAATGGGGTCTGGGTTTATACTCTAGACCAGGACTGTCAAACTCATTTTGGTTGAGGGCCAAATAAACTGGTTGGGGTCAGTGGAATAAAAGGCCAGGCAAGTTTATTTGTATAGCGCAATTCATACACAAGTCAACTAAAAGTGCTGAACAAAATAAGAAAGCATTAAAATCATAAATAATCACAGAACATTAAAAAGAAAGATAAAAATATAATATCCCTCAGTTGTATGCACAGCTAAACAGAACTGTCTTTAACCTGGTTTTAAACATTGTCAGAGAGGAGGCCTGTCTCACATCTTCAGGAAGACTGTCCCAGATTTTAGCAGCATGAATCTGAAAAGCAGCCTCCCCATGTTTAGTTCTGAAAAATCGTTTTTATAGATTTTTATATTAATTTGATTACATTGACTTTGAATATGATTACATGGTTGTGTTCAAGTTACCGCGATAAAGATCATTGAAAATCAGTGCAAGGTCCACTAAAAATTGTCTCGCGGGCCGGATTTGGCCCACGGGCCTGAGTTTGACATGCCTGCTATAGAATATTTTTTTCTTGTAAATTTAAAAATATCACAATAAAATAATAACACCAACATTATCATCACTACATCACCACTATCTCTGTCTTTCTTTTTTTCTTTTTTATTTACTATCATTATTATTATTCTTTATGAGGTTTATTTTCACCATGAACATATTTAATTTACTGATGTTATATCCCTCCCCCCTGGACTGCCACCTTAACGTGGTGGGGGAGTTTGAGTACTCGGATGATCCTGGGAGCTATGCTGTCTGGGGCTTCATGCCCCTGGTAGGGCCTCCCATGGCAGACAGGTCTCAGGTGACGAGTCAGACGAAGCGCAGTCCAGAAGACACCATGGACAGCACTCTAACGAAACCAGTGACGTCGCCCGGCATGGCGCAGCCGGGGCCCCACCCTGGAGCCAGGCCTGGGGTCGGGGCTCGTAGGCGAGCGCCTGGTGGCCGGGCCTTAGCCCACGGGGCCCGGCCGGGCTCAGCCCGAATGGACGACGTGGGCAGTCCCTCCTGTGGGCCCACCACCTGCAGAGGGGTCCGTGGTGGCATGGTGCAGAGAGGACTGGGCAGCAGTCGAAGGCGGAGACCTCGACGACCCAGTCCGCACACACAACAGCTGGCTCTTGGGACGTGGAACGTCACCTCACTGGGGGGGAAGGAGCCCGAGCTTGTGGGGGAGGTTGAGCGATACCGACTAGAGATAGTCGGCCTCACCTCCACACACAGCTTGGGCTCTGGAACCCAACTCCTTGAGAGGGGTTGGACGCTCCACTTTTCTGGTGTTTCCCGCGGGGAGAGGCGGCGAGCTGGGGTGGCCATTCTCATTGCCCCCCATCTCAGCCGCCACGTGTTGGAGTTCTCCCCGGTGAATGAGAGGGTCGCGTCCCTCCGCCTCCGGGTGGGGGACAAGTCTCTCACTGTTGTGACGGCCTACGGGCCTAACGGCAGTGCAGAGTACCCGGCCTTCTTGGAGTCCTTGGGAGGGGTACTGGACAGTGCACCGCCCGGGGACTCCGTTATTCTCCTGGGGGACTTCAACGCCCATGTGGGAAATGCCAGTGACACTTGGAGAGGGGTGATCGGGAAGAGCGGCCCCCCTGATCTGAACCCGAGCGGTGTTCAGTTGTTGGACTTCTGTGCCAGTCACAGTTTGTCCATCACGAACACCATGTTCGAGCACAAGGGTGTCCACCAGTGCACGTGGCACCAGGACACCCTAGGCCGGAGGTCGATGATCGACTTTGTTGTCGTATCATCTGACCTTCGACCGCGTGTCTCGGACACTCGGGTAAAGAGAGGGGCGGAGCTGTCAACCGATCATCACCTGGTCGTGAGTTGGATCCGCTGGCAGGGGAAGAAGCCGGTCAGACCTGGCAGACCCAAGCGTATAGTGAGGGTCTGCTGGGAACGTCTCGCTGAGCCCCCTGTCAGACGGACTTTCAACTCACACCTCCGGGAGAGCTTCTCCCAGGTCCCGGTGGAGGAGGGGGACATGGAGTCCGAGTGGACCATGTTCTCTGCCTCAATCGCAGATGCGGCGGCTCGTAGCTGTGGTCGCAAGGTCTCTGGTGCTGGTCCCGGCGGCAACCCCCGAACCCGGTGGTGGACACCGGCAGTAAGGGATGATGTCAGGCTGAAGAAGGAGTCCTATCGAGCCATGATGGTTCGGGGGACTCCTGAGGCAGCTGTCCAGTACCGGCAGGCCAAGCGTGCCGCGGCCCGGGCTGTTGCAGAGGCAAAAACCCGGGAATGGGAGGAGTTCGGAGAGTCCATGGAGCATGACTATCGGTCGGCCTCAAAGAGATTCTGGCAAACCGTCCGGCGCCTCAGGAGGGGGAAGCAGTTCTTTGCCAACACCATGTACGGTGCGGGTGGAGAGCTGCTGACCTCGACTGGGGATATTGTCGGGCGGTGGAAGGAATACTTTGAGGTTCTCCTCAATCCCCCCGTCACGTCCTCTGTTTCAGAGGCAGAGGCTGAGGATGTTGGGGCGGATACATCCATCTCCCTGGCTGAGGTCACCAAGGTGGTTGGTAGCCTCCATGGTGGCAGGGCTCCGGGTGTGGATGAGATCCGCCCTGATTATCTAAAGTCTCTGGATGTTGTAGGACTGTCTTGGCTGACACGTCTCTGCAACATCGCGTGGCGATCGGGGGCGGTGCCAATGGAGTGGCAGACCGGGGTGGTGGTCCCTCTCTACAAGAAGGGGGACCGGAGGGTGTGTTCCAATTATCGTGGGATCACACTCCTCAGCCTCCCCGGTAAGGTCTACTCCAAGGTACTGGAGAGGAGGCTACGGCCGATGGTCGAATCTCGGATCCAGGAGGAGCAGTGTGGTTTTCGCCCCGGTCGCGGAACACTGGACCAGCTCTATACTCTCCATCGGATACTCGAGGTTTCATGGGAGTTCGCCCAACCTGTCCACATGTGCTTTGTGGATTTGGAGAAGGCGTTCGACTGTGTTCCCCGGGGTGTCCTTTGGGGGGTTCTCCGGGAGTACGGGGTCGGGGGTCCTCTGCTGAGCTGTGTTTGCATTGCCGGCAGTAAGTCAGACCTGTTCCCGGTGAATGTTGGCCTCCGACAGGGCTGCCCTTTGTCACCGGTTCTGTTCACTGTATTTATGGACAGAATATCTAGGCGCAACCAGGGGTCGGAGGGGGTCCGGTTCGGGGACCACAGGATTTCATCTCTGCTGTTTGCGGACGATGTTGTCCTGTTGGCTCCAACAAACCAGGACCTGCAGCATGCACTGGGACGGTTTGCAGCCGAGTGTGAAGCGGCTGGGATGAGAATCAGCACCTCCAAATCTGAGGCCATGGTGCTCGACCGGAAAAAGGTGCCCTGCCCTCTTCAGGTGGGTGGAGAGGTCCTTCCTCAAGTGGAGGAGTTCAAGTATCTCGGGGTCTTGTTCACGAGTGAGGGAAGAATGGAGCGTGAGATTGACAGGCGGATCGGTGCAGCGTGCGCAGTGATGCGGTCGCTGTATCGGACCGTGGTGGTGAAGAGGGAGCTGAGCCGAAAGGCAAAGCTCTCGATTTACCGGTCAATCTTCGTTCCCTCCCTCACCTATGGTCATGAGCTTTGGGTAATGACCGAAAGAACGAGATCGCGGATACAAGCGGTCGAAATGAGCTTCCTCCGCAGAGTGGCTGGGCGCTCCCTTAGAGATAGGGTGAGGAGCTCAGTCACACGGGAGGAGCTCGGAGTAGAGCCGCTGCTTCTCCACGTCGAGAGGAACCAGTTGAGGTGGCTCGGGCATCTGTTCCGGATGCCTCCTGGACGCCTCCCTAGGGAGGTGTTCCGGGCACGTCCCACCGGGAGGAGGCCCCGCGGAAGACCTAGGACACGCTGGAGGGACTATGTCTCTCAGCTGGCCTGGGAACGCCTTGGGGTCCCCCCGGACGAGCTGGAGGAAGTGTGTGTGGATAGGGAAGTCTGGGCGTCCCTGCTTAGACTGCTGCCCCCGCGACCCGGCAACGGATAAAGCGGAAGAAAATGGATGGATGGATGGATGTTATATCTGATTTGATTTACGTTTGTTCCGTTTGCCGGAGAGTAGATATGTTCGTAAAACCAGCTCACAAAGAGATCACTCACTCCACTTTTCATCTCATAATATCACGTTTTATTGGACGAGAAGACCGAGAAGTGGAGCTCGGGTTTCAGAAAATGCTCTGGATTCATAAATCTGTGAAAAGTGCTTCTATCATGGACAATGATGATGGTGCGGATAGAATGTTAGACTGAGTGACTGGTCTGTTCCTAATTCTTTTTTACATATATAATTGTACAGGCCTTTGTGGTTCGGGTTGGAGGTCGGAGAATGTTCGAGTCTGTGTGTCTGTGTGTTTCTGAGTGTGTGTGTGTGTATCTGTGTGTGTCTGTGTGTGTGTCTATGTTTGTGTTTCTGTGTGTGTCTGTGTTTGTGTTTCTGTGTGTTTCTGTGTGTGTGTGTCTCTGTGTGTGTGCGTGTCTATGTGTGTGTGCGTGTAGGTGTGTGTCTCTGTGTGTATGTGTGTCTGTATTTGTGTTTCTGTGTGTGTGTATGTCTGTGTGTGTGTGTATCTGTGTGTGTCTGTGTTTGTGTTTCTGTGTGTGTAAATGTGTGTGTCTGTTTGTTTGTGGTTGGTGTTTTCGTTCTATGAATGTTAACACAGCATAAAATAACGGAGTACATTAAAAAAAATCCCAAACAGGTCTAAGGAGTTTTGATCTCGTCTCTGGGGCCCCTGGAGACGCCGCAGAAGAAGTCAAAAAGCAAATGGACCTTTAAGTAAGTCGCCTAAACCCGTCCAAATACATACATTGTTATTAATGCTTTTAAATGCTTTTAAATGCATCACTGCCCAATGTCTCATTCTAATCCGATTGACGTTTTTACAACTGCAGTGTCATGGTGTGAAATTTTAGTTATTTTGTTTTATTTTGAAATCAGTTCTCTGTGGTTTGGTTTTAGTTTCACTTCCTGTCCTGTTACCCAGCCTTGACTGCCTGCTCCGCCCTCATGTGTTCACCTGTGTCTCTGTGTGTACCTGTGCTCCTCTCCCCTTGTTGCTGGTCCATTGTCTTTGTCCGTCTGTTTTCTGGTTTCTGAGTTTCATTTTGATTTTAGTTTGTTTTTCCCTGGGATTTAATTTTATTTTCTTCATTAAATCATTGATATTTGCATTCCTCCTTCATCTCACCTCCCGACACACACCAGCTCCTCAGAACGGACTGGTTTTTCACACAGTAGAGAAGATGAAATAAATATAATAACACCGCATGAGTTGTGTTGTCCTCTATTTTATTGTTTTATGTTTAGTCATTTTTTTTTTTTTTTACAAATAATTGGTTTAAAAGTGCAGTAAGCGATTTTGTTAGCTTAGCCGTAGCACCAACTTGAAACCACTCCCCGCTCTTCTCGCCTCTCCACCAAACCAAACATCCAGCATTTTCTTTTCTTCGTCACAACAGGGAGAGTCTGGTCAATTCCATTACTATTTGAAAACACATGATAACTTTATGGGTTTAGAGACATTTTACCACAGTATTAAAAAAAAAATGCGTCTGGAAAAGATCACTGACTGCATCTTTAATTTGATTTTAACTGTTTTTATTTAAAGCTGGCAGACTTGTATATCATAATGTGTTACTTTGATCTGTGCGACCCTTTGGAAATGTGTTTTATATGTGGTTTTATACATAAAGTGGATTGGTTTGGATAATCACCACTTAACAAACACTACCACACAGATATGCCCTCGTGGTTTATGGTTTGGTTCGAGGCTCGAGGATTAAAAAGAACTTGTCTTTATCGCGGTCATCTGTCATTACCGTTCTTTCATCTATAAATATCGTCATCCTTATGGTCAAAGTAAATGTTTCAGACGGTTTTATCTGACAGGAGCAGACTCTCTCTCTCTCTGCAGACGTCAGCTCCAGTGGGACGTGCGGACACATTTATGGAGGTCTGTGGACATTTGTTAGACATTATTCGACTTTGAGCAGCGTCAGATTTCAAAGCTCCTGCATTGTGTCAGTGATACGCTGCTTTGGAACCAGGGCTTTTGAGATTTTCCTCTTGTTCCATTTTTAAAGTCACAGCTCCATTGAGATTTATGATCCTGAAGATTTGAAATATATGTGATCAAAGACTGTATATTAAAATGTCAAAATGTGTGTGTAAAACTAAATGAATGAGAAACCTGAGTCTACAAAGCTGCTCACCAGCTGTGGTGATCTGGACTACAGTGGTGGTAGTATTTTTATTAAACATATGTACTGAAGATATGACATGATGGCTGAGTGGTTAGCACTTTCTCTTCTCAGAAAGAAGGGTCTAGGTTTGAATCCTGGTTGGAACTAGGGGTGGGAACCTCAGGGTACCTCACGATTCGATGTGCGATACAAAGCTCACGATAACGATTATCTCACGGTATGACGATGCAGCGATTATCGATATATTGGTCAAAAATATACCTACGATAATATTTTTTATTTTATTTATGGCATAAATTAAGTTTTAAGTTTAAGTTTATTAAGGAAAACCCCTTGAGATGAATCATCTAATTTTCATTGACAAGTGAAAAAATAGACTTTATTTCAAGATAAATGGATAAAGTGTCATGTGTAACATTAAAGTGAACAAGCAAACATACCTTTTAAATTGCACATTTTAGTAAAAATCTTACTTCCTTTGTGTGACATCCAGTATAATCAATATGAACATTCTACTGAAATTTTAGAATGCGTAATGTCGCCATATATTGAGTATTCATACTCTTTTCTTATTTTTTCAGAATAAAGCTTAATTTTTTTTTCTCGATACTTAGCAAAAGCATATCAATAATCGATTGTGTGAGAAAGTATCAGGATACATCTTTTTTTTTTTTTTTAAACAGTTCAAACACAAGAAATGCAATAATAGAAACCACATTAGCATTGGTCCATAAGGGGCAGATGACCATGTCCATAAATGTTGATAAATATTGTTGAATGCTGAGTGTCCTGGATCCTCACCACTGCCCATGACCCTCCTGCACCGGCACAGAACCAAAGGTCTTCTACTTTATAATCTACATTGTACACTTGATCTTTACAGACCTGTTCCGATTTATGGATGCAACTCTTCCATGGAATCGTGCAAGTAGTGACACACAACTTTTTCCTCTTCATAAAGTGAATCAAAATCAGTGTTGGCAATGGCAATAAAAATATTGCAAATGAATGTAACAGACTAAAAAACAAAATAAAAATCTGATAGAGGCATGACTAAAAACAACTGTACTGTGAGCCTGTTACAAAAGCAGCTCAGCTTGACGTTGTTTTCATCAAGCTGAAGGAAGGAAAGTTAATTCTACAGCACAATTAATAGTTAAATCAAATCTGGGGAACCTTTTATTAACCCATATTTTTTTCCTCAGCTGATAGAGTGTTGTAAAAGTAAAGTGCTGTGAACAAATGAATCCACAGCACACTATCTTTATCTTAGAAAGCATTGTATTTGTCTCAAAAAAATAGCGACCTGTGAGTCACTATTAGACTCCTTGGGCTGAAAGCTGATTGGCTGAGAAAGGAGGGTCCTCTTTTTCCACTTTTCTGTTTGAAAAAGCTGATCTAAAGATATGACTGAGGGCAAACATACATCCATGTGACAACTTGTGATGGAGTCCTGCTGTGGTTTGAAAAGTTAGGTACCCCAACTTTTAGTTATAGGGACGGCCAGCTTTTATTTAGGTACCCCAGCTTTAACGCAAAGTGCTTGACAAAACAAGGAAGGTAAAGTGCAATAAATAAAACAAGTAAAGGCTCAATCAGTATCATTGTTTTTGACAGAAAGAAGAGCGGCCCAAATCCGCCTTTGAAATGTACAGTAAACATAGGCTTGTCTGTGTGTGTGTGTGTGTGTGTGTGTGTGTTTGTGTGTGTGTGAGAGAGAGAGAGCAAGTGTGTGTGTGCGTTTGTATGACCAAAATCTACCTCTGAAATGTAAACATAGGCTTGTGTGTGTGTGTGTGTGTGAGAGAGAGAGAGAGAGAGAGAGAGAGAGAGAGAGAGAGAGAGAGAGAGAGAGAGAGAGAGAGAGAGAGAGCAAGTGTGTGTCTGCGTTTGTGCGCGTGTGTGAGAATGCGAGTGAGAGAGTGTGTGTGCGTGTATGTGTGCGTGATTGCGTGCGTGAGTGAGCGAGTGAGTGAGTGAGAGAGCGTGTCGGGGACCTACAGGACGTGGTGAGCGCGTGCAGAGGGGACAGAGCTGCGCGTGCGGACGGAGAATGCGGCTCCTCGCGCTCCTCGTGCTCCACCGCGTCCTCGCGCTGCACGGACACCCGGGGAAGGCGCGCGCCACCACGGTCAGTCCCAACACCTTCCATACCTGCAGATGTGTTGTCATTGTCACGCTGGGGAGAAAACATTGAACCTGTTTTTAGTTTCTAACATTGTCCAATCTAAAGCCATTGCTAAATCTGTACAGGGAATTTCAACTACAACTATCGACTATTGTTTACAAGGAGAAACATATGGGAGGATTTTCAACGTGCGAGTTATTATGATGCTAGGAACAATAGCACGTGCACTCGAAACAAGACCAGGCATTTCTATAATTCTTTGCAAAGTTGTGCAATTTTAAGATTATAAAAAAAACTTATTAAAGCTGAGGTACCTAACTTTATTCTTTCCCACGGACATTACGGGTACTCGTCGCAACAGAAAGAATATTGCACCAGTGAAATGTTGTGAACAAATCAGATCACAACTGTCTTCAACTTATTAGAAAACAAAAATAAATAACAATAAGAGAATCAAAGTTTTACTATTTGGGCTGAGAGGTGATTGGATGAGTCCGGGACATATTTTCTTTCTCCCTTTTCTGTCTGAAAAAGCTGAAGTGACAGAAGTAAAAAGAGACATGCGTGTGATAAGTAGTGATAGAACCAAGCTGATGTTTCTTTGTGTGTTTTGAGAGTTAGGTACCCCAGCTTTAATCTAAAAGGAGCATATATATAACCATGCTGTATTTGTTTACCCTCTGAAATAGTGATTCATGCATGATTGAATCCTCTTTGTTTTCTTGCCGTTGCTTTGACAACCCCGGTTTCACTAACACATGCCAGAGACCTTGTTTATATATATATATTTTTTTTTGATCAATATTGAGACTGAGACTATTGAGATTCAGTTCAAAATGTTCAAAATACCTCACAATTTAGCAGAGAATTTGTCTTTAAACGAAACATGAGCTGCCTGTTTCTGTTTCAATCCTTTGAACTGTCATTTCTTGGACTTATTGCTTCTCGCCGGGATCTCCTGCAGCACTTTCATTCTTCTGTATCAGAGTCGGTCTCTATAAACTTGTCTCCGCACGTTCGCACAGACCTCAGCACTTCCTCTTTTGTCTCATCTCGGCCAAACATGCGGCGTTCGTGTCGTACATTTATGTAGAATTAAAGAGCGTGGCTGCTTTGGTTTCTCTCTTCTGAACATCAATTATCTGGCCCCCATCGCCTCGAGTCTGTTGTTGCAGTCAGCTGGAAAGACGCACTGCTGAGTTTGACTGGTGGAATGTCTAGTTTATTTGTCTTTTTCTGTAGTAGTGGGATGTTTGAGGTATATTGATTTATAGAGAAAATAATAACCTGACAGAGTAAGAAGACACATATGACATTCATTCATTTTCATGTTATAGATCATGCAGGTCAAACTCAGGATCGTGGGCCAAATCCGGTCCGCAAGACACTTTTTAATGGCCTCAAAAATAATTTTCAATTAGGATTATTAACTTACAGCCTTAATAGTAATGGACTATCAAGGCAGCTTATACATCATTCTCTCTACATCTATTTTCTCAGGAAACCATTCAAATTGACAACCGATTAGAGCGAGACCAGCGATCTGAGCTGGGGTCAAATCTATGCAAATGCTGTTGCTATAGCGCTGGTGTGTACCATCCTGGTCTTGCACAGTTTTTCCAATGTGGTTTTACTGCAAATGGCAAATAAATTCTTGAATCTTTAATCTTTAATCTTTGTCGCAACGACTGAGTGACCAAGCACCAATCATGAGCGGCGCAGTCCTTCCCCTCTCACGCTATTCGCTTACTTTCTCCGTCTAGGCTACTAATTAGTTGTTCGGGCACATATCTGTATTTTTCAATATTACAATATGAGCGCCAGGATCAAGGAGAGCCCATGAACTATAGAGGTTTACTTTTCAATGTAAGTCACTAGGAGCCAGAGCAAGCTGGAGCAAAACTTCTTCTATGAGCGCTTCCCCATTGGTCTTCATTGAGCTTTGGGGGTCATCATTGTCCATGTGTACAGTCTATGTGAGGGACCGAACGGTTTGTGTTTTTTTAATGCCAAGTACTGCAGCTTTAAAGCTGCACTAACTGACTTTGGGATTTTGAAGCCGCGGACTCGCTGGCCTCTCTCTTTCTGCTCCCCTCCCCGCACCCACGAAGCTATCGCCCCCCACACACACACTGTTGGGACGGAGCTAGCGTCTCCCAATATGGATAATACATGGATATGGATTTGCACGTGGATGGCGTGACCATAGAACGATAGAACCGGGAAGCGCGGAGGAACGGGACTTTCTTTGGGATGGCTGTCTCGCTGTGTAAGCAGTAACCGGTGACGAAGACGAGGAAGCTTCAGGTTAGCTCCTCGGCTTGTTGTGCTAACTCAGCCGTCTATGCTACCGGACCTGTAGATTTTTCACAAAATTGGGGTCTAGTGGTCTGCTGTGATTGGTCACAATCTGCGACCCGAAACACATCTCTTCCTTGTTTCATCAAAACTCGATCTAAAATATAATGTCACGGAAGCACAAATCTGTGCTACTTTTTCTTCAAAAGGACGTTTATCCAAATGCACTGCATGGACATGGATAGCATTTTCGTAATGAATACAAAAATAAAGTCAGTTAGTGCAGCTTTAAGTGCTTTGATAAAATGATAGATTACACTTTATTGCTCCCGTATGGAAATGTCAGGACCACCCACCTCCAGACGTGGCTGCTCTCGATCAGGGACCAAGACCCACCTAGACAGGGGGAGAACATGCAATCTCCCCAAAGCTCGATCCAAATCTGTAATCGTCCTTTGACAATATGTTGAATCACAAGCTGCTTTGAATCCACCGCAGAAATATCTACAGAGACAGTTTGAGGACTTTTATTTCATATTTGAAGTCGTTGGAAGAAGAGTAATTATTGGTTCCAGTCTTGTCAAGACGAGAAAGGGAGAGTTTTTATATATTTTGCAATACAGTATATTCTATAGCTACAGTGAGAAACACATTTTGAGAACATTCTATAGTTGTTTCAAGTTGAATTGTTTTAAAAACCTCCAATCTACACAAGCTGGAGTCTGGACGATTGTATTTGTTTATGAATGAATGAATTGAAACGCCTAGAGAGTAAACGTACTGCTGTTTATCCATGATGTGTGAAATATCCCAGGCACTTGAACACACACACACACACACACACACACACACACACACAGGCAGGAACTCACGCACACACACACACACTCACACACTCACACACGCACAACCGTTCAGCGCTAACGATTATTTACATCATCCGCAGGAATGCTACGATGACTCCTTAGATTAAATGACATTATAGACTAAAACGTTTCCTCTGAATCAGTTTGGGGAATTTCTCGATGCAAATAATAATCTTCACAATTGCAATTAGTCTGGCATTTACGTGTTTCTCCCCATGTTTGGAAGGGTTTCCTCCGGGCGCTCCGGTTCCCCCACCTACTCGACTACATTTATCATAATTCAAACTCACTCTGACAAAACCTCACAAACAGAGTATTTGTCTGTCTCCGTGTTCTACGGATTTCAAACCACAAAAATATGAAACTTAAATGTGGACAAGGCAAGTTTATTTGTATAGCACTGTTCATACACAAGGCAATGCAATGTGCTGAACAAAACAAGAAAGAAACAATTAAGGCATTAAAAAGAGTGAAGATAAAATCCCTCAACAGATACACAACAGATGTAACTAGTTCCTCGCTCTCTAAACAGTTACATTGAGGCTCAAAGGAACACAAATCATGTAATGTTTTTGTTCTTTAGCGCAAAATACAATATACACACACGCACACTCACGCACGCACACACACGCACACTCACGCACACTCACGCACTCATGCACGCACACACACGCACACTCACGCACGCACGCACACACACGCACACTCACGCACGCATACCTGAAAACATGTCCATCATATTTGACATATTTGTGATGTAATGACACTTGTGCTCAGCTACACTTACTGCTCCAACACAACATGTAGTAATAATAACTGGTTTAGTCCTGGTTTAGTCCTGGTTCAGTCCTGGTTTAGTCCTGGTCTAGTCCTGGTAGAGTTCTGGGTTAGTCCTGCTTTAGTCCTGTTTCAGTCCTGGTTTAGTCCTGGTTTAATCCTTGTTTAATCCTGGTCTAGTCCTGTTCTAGTCCTGGTCTAGTCCTGGTTTAATCCTGGTCTAGTCCTGTTCTAGTCCTGGTCTAGTCTTGGGTTAGTCCTGGGCTAGTCCTGGGCTAGTCCTGGTCTAGTCCTGGTCTAGTCCCGGTCTAGTCCTGGGTTAGTCCTGGTCTAGTCCTGGGTTAGTCCTTGGCTAGTCCTGGGTTTGTCCTGGTCTAGTCCTGGGTTAGTTCTGGTCTAGTCGTAGGTTAGTCCTTGGCTAGTCCTGGTATTGTCCTGGTCTAGTCCTGGTCTAGTCCTGGGTTTGTCCTGGGTTAGTCCTGGTCTAGTCCTGGTCTAGTCCTGGGTTAGTCCTGGACTATTCTCATGTCTCTTTGATGGATGGGCCTCACATGTGAAGCACTTGTTTTCTGGGTCATGAATGTTTTCCCGTTTTCCTCTTTTTGAAGGCACGAAAAGTACTGTTTATAAAAAATGCGGATCTCATAAAAGTGTTTTGTTCCCGAGGCTGAAGTTTAGTCCAGGTTTAGTCCAGGTTTAGTCCCAGGTCCTGTTTTTCTCTGTAGTTTTATGAACGTGTTTCAGAGGAAGTCTTTATGATGATTATAACAACAAGACGCATGGACTCATAAACCTTTTGTTTATGCTCTGACTGAACCAGGACTGGGCGACAGTAGCTCAGTTGGTAGAGCATTGGCCTTAAGGCCAGAAGGTCGTGGGTTCAATTCCCACCTCTACACCTTCTTCACCGACTCCCACTGATGACTGCTGTTGTTGTGTCCTTGGGCAAGACACTTAACCCCACTTTGCCCAAAAAGCCCCCGCTGGAAGATCTCAGCTCCTGTGGACTCACCACCCGCAGAGGATCAGTGAGGGGCTGGTGCTATGAGACTTGGGTGGCATCTCTGATTGCCACCCCCCTGA